TGCACGTGGAACAATAAATATGTAAAATTATTGATATTTATGTATTCTCGGTTAAATTAAAAAAATTATCTAAATTTTATACTTTTAAATTCAATAATGCTCTTAAATTTAAAAAATGATTAAAAAAAATCTACTTGAAAACTGAATATTACTTCTGTAATCTGGTATGGATCCATATAATATTTAAAGAATATATTTTATCTAATTATTTAGTTAGTTTATATTTTTTTTCTCATTTTTAGATATTAATTGTGTTGTGAATATTAATAAAGATGATCCCACAAATTCATGATTTAAATGATTGTAAAAATATGGTAAGATTTGTGGAAAAAATGTGAACATACAATAAACTTTATTATCTCAATTTAGTAAAATTTGATGAACTACTATTGTAATGTTAAATTAACACAATTTGAATGAAATGATAGGAACAACCTTATAATTCCCAATTTGAAACCCATTGAATAGAATAGGTGATAGGATTTATGAACATCTCCGCCGTCAGATTTGTGTAGTAGCAAAATACATCCGCTTCAGCTCATTCGCGAACCAACCCCCTCTCCCATGGACCCAAAACGCATTGATTTAGAGTGAGTTTTGGCAATTCAAAGTGCGGCCCGATCTTTATCCACTGCATGTGCCACAAAACCCAACTCCTGCTTTGCTTTTACCAAATTTGAAGAATCCGTGTGCGATTTTCGGGAATATTATGTGTCCTCTTTACTGATGCCTCCTCAGCTTCATCCGTAGTATTCTAGCTTTTCCCTCGCTGTGGCTAATGGGTCCAATCAGAGGGTCGAGAAAGAAGAAGAAATTAGAGAGAAAGCTCGATGCCAATGCCAGTACTGCTTCAGATTCCTCTGAAAAGGACGACGCCCTTGATTGGTGGGACGATTTCTCTAGAAGAACCATTGGTATTTTGTTTCTATCTTTTCTTTTAATTTCTTGATTTCTTCCGGAGTTCTTGCTCGATGCATTTGGGCGCAATAACATAGCCATCGGTTCTGTTTACAAGATTTTCCTCTAATCATTCAACCTTTTGAAACAACTGATTTGAACTCGGTTGACTTACGTTGACAGTGCCGCTTGCGTAGGGTAGTTTACTGATTCTGCTACTTTGATTGTGTAAAGACGCATGAACTCGTGTTTATAGTTTGTAAGCATCGATGAGTTTCTGTGGTGATTCTGTTTCAGGATTTGGATCTATTTTCTGTGATGCTAATGCTTGGGATTTGAAACGAGGCCTTGTGTTTGAGTTTGATGTGTTAGTGTTTAATTTATGAAGGGATAGATTATGCTGCTTGATTGTTCCTTTTTATGAGCCATCTGTAGATGATTTAGTTGAGGATAGATCTTCATAGATGCAATTGTGTATGACATAATGTTTGAAATTTCGAAGTTGATCATACGCAATTCGGGTTCGGTTTTTGGGTTCATCTTAAGTTTTAACTTTATTTTCCTTATGTTATTAGTACGACAAATGTGGGTCGGAATTTGAACTTTCAATGTCGAGCGAAGGAGTATATGCTTATACGATCAAACTATACTCTCGTTGTTCTTAGTTTGTTGTCATTTCCTCACAAATTCTACTGCTAGATCTTTGAAAAACAAGGTGGCTACCATATACTAGGATGGGATGGTTATATATTCTTATGCGTGTTCTCGGTTCAAATCTTTCGGTATGTATCGACGTCCAAGGTCTACATGTATTAGGTTTGCCTCTTTAGGACATACAACAATTCCCTCCACCAAGACTACACTCAGAAGTATGGACAAGAAGCTTGTTTTGGAATCCTTTTCTAATCCTAGAGACTGTAGTGAATTTATGATATGCATATTCCCCCTCTCTATCTATGTGAAATCTTGTTCTAGAGATTATATTTTGAAGTGTTGAGACAACTATAGTAGAGTAGGATAGACATGATGGACTGATGTAAAGAGGTGAGGGTGGGTCGGGGAGTCGGAAACGAAAGTGTGGGTTTTCTGCAGAATCTAGTTATTCAATGAAGCTATATTAATCACTTGGCAAGATATACTATAACAGTCCAAGCCCACCGCTAGCATATATTGTCCTCTATGGGTTTTCCTTTTCGAGCTTCCCCTCAAGGTTTTTAAAACACGTATGCTAGGGAGAGGTTTCCACACCCTTATAAATAATGCTCCGACTCCTCCCCAACCGATGTGGGATCTCACAATCTACCCTCTTTAGGGCCCAGCGTCCTAGCTGGCACTCGTTCCGTTCTCCAATCGATATGGGACCCCCCCCAATCCACCCTCCTTCAAGGCCCAGCGTCCTTGTTGACACACCGCCTTGTGTCCACACCCCTTCGGGGCTCAGGCTCCTTGCTGACACATCGCCTAGTGTCTGGCTTTGATACCATTTGTTATAGTCCAAGTCCACTGTTAGCAGATATTGTTCTATTTGGGTTTTCTGCCGATATTGTCATTTTTGGGTTTTCTACAGATATTGTCCTCTTTGGGTTTTACCTTTCGGGCTTCCACTTATTATAAAGAATGCTTCGTTCTCCTCCCCAACCTATGTGGGATCTCACATATACATTCTCGTTGTTTCGTATGGACTTCAATGTCATTACACAATACTTCTGTTGTTTATCGATTTCTCGGGTTTTCTATTAAGCATATTTGAAACCAATGAATATCCATTTTCATTACAGTGCAAGATACAAAACTAATCATACTCTGCATAAATATCTGGATCTTGTATTTGGTATTTTGGCGACGTGCTCGGTCGTCTAGTTTGATAATATTGGTTACCTTTTCATGGCTCCATTTCCATGCAGGTCTTCATTCTGAATTAGAAGGTCTGGATGGATTCAAATCCATTTTCAAGGTCTCGAGGAAGACTTTTGATTACATATGTTTGCTTGTCAAAGACGACATGACAGCGAAATCCAGTAATTTTATGTTTTTAAATGGTCGGCCATTATCTCTATATGATCAAGTAGCTGTAGCTTTAAGAAGGCTGGGTTCCGGTGATTCATTAGTGACGATCGGGTATTCGTTTGGATTGAACCACTCGACTGTATCTCAAGTCACATGGCGGTTTGTGGAGTCGATGGAAGTAAGGGGACTCCGCCATCTTCACTGGCCTTCAACCGAAGAAGAAATGGCTCAAGTGAAACTAAAATTTGAGAAAATACAAGGCCTCCCAAACTGTTGTGGTTCAATCGACACCACTCACATCACAATGTGTCTGCCTGTTTTGGATCCTACAAGCAATGTATGGCTTGATGCAGAGAAAAACCACAGCATGGTCTTACAAGTGATCGTCGACGCCGAAATGAGGTTTCGAGACATAATAACTGGATTGCCTGGAAAAATGTCGGATTGGTTAGTTTTTCAGAGTTCGAACTTCCACAAGCTCTGTGAAAAGGGGGAGAGGCTGAACGGGAAGCGGTTAGAGTTCATCAACAGGTCGGAAATCAGAGAATATATAATTGGAGATTCGGGCTATCCCTTACTTCCCTATCTTGTCACTCCCTATGATGGAAAAGAACTCCAGCCATCAAAAGCCGAGTTTAACAAGCGACACACAGAGACTCGGTTGGTGGTGCAACGAGCCTTAGCTAGCTTGAAAGAGCGATGGAGGATCATTCAGGGAGTGATGTGGAGACCCGATAAACATCGGTTGCCGAGGATCATTCTAGTCTGCTGCTTGCTTCACAACATTATCATTGATGTTGGAGACGAGATGGAGGATGGCAACGTTCCGATGTCTATCGAACACGACGCTGATTACAAACAACAGATTTGTGATGTTTATGACTCAAAGGGTGCATATCTTAGAGAGAAATTGTCTTTGCTCTTCATCTAAAAACGAAAGCTTCCTTACCATCTTGACTATTCTTTTACATTTTACAAAGTCTAAATAATGAAAGTTAAGCTCTGCCTCTTGTACATACCGATTAATACTTTAATAGAGTAGTGATTGATGCGTTTATTCAGCTCCCCGTTGGACTGCTGCTAAGTTTCTTCGACGTTTCGGTTGATCACTTGACGTTAAACTCCATAAAGCATAGTCCATGATTATCATCATTTTCAAATTTATTATACTTTTATATTTCTACAATTGATTTGAGTTTATGAACTTGTTCTTCAAGTTATGTTGAAAAATCAAAGTACAATTTTGTGGAAAATTACACTTTTTTTTTTCCTTTAATATCCATTACACAAGAAAAGTTTTGACCTTTTTCCTGTTGTTAATGTGAATTCACATCTATATTCACATATACTTTTTCATTTTCCATGTATTTTGTTTAATTATTGTAATGAGACTCCTAAATTTTTAATTTGATTGATCAATTTCGTGTGTTTTAATAGATATTATAGTCAGGGTCAACGATCACTCATGTCATGGATAGCACGACGAGCTCAACTTTCACTAAAAAGTTAGAATCTCTCCGACTCCGCTTTAGTCATTAATTAGCCGATGAGCCAGACCGATGAAGTCAAAGAATGGATGGGAAACATAAAATCCCTGTAGATCGTTTCACTTTTCAGCAGGAATCGAACCAACGCGAACGGATCCAGTCACAAACTTATAGACCGATAGAATTTGACTTTTTGTTACATGTATGGAAAACAGACATGCATTGATTAAAAAAAATTGTCAAAGTGGATTATGGTGATTGAAACATAGAGGAAAATAAATTTTTATTTTTTGGACAATAAAAATGAACAATAATTCATCCAGAAGATAGAGGAATGGTCAAAGCTGTACTAGATTCGTACTCCTCAACTTTGACCCCCTAACTTTGCTCATCTATGCGATGACACATCTTAAGTCGGTACAAAAACCCCAAGTTGCCCCTAGTTTAAACCAATATTTGCATCCACTGCCACCTTCTCCGTCTCATCTTTCTCCTCACTCACCCAACAATCCAAGGGTTAAATCGGTCATTTCCTTCTCAAAAGTCAACATTTTTTTTCTATAAAGATCTTTCTCACCACTCCATTCCATTCAACTACCATATTCCAAATTCAATCCTCTCAATATTTTTCTTTTCCAATAGTTCGTGATCTAAAATTACCTTCAACGGTTCGTATAGCTATAAATAAAACCACCAAAACCTTCGAGATCTGACACAACACGACACGGGAGGTTTTATTATTATTATTCGGAAACTTATGAAGAGAGAAAGAGAAGAAGGAGAATTTGAAGTTTTGGATATGGTAGATTGCTTAATGTTGCTATCCAAAATGGAGGAGCCACGGCGGAAGAATGGTTTCGCTCCGACGCCGGCGGCGGATTCCGACAAGGTTTTTGTCTGTAAAACGTGTAATAGAGAATTCTCATCTTTCCAGGCTTTAGGAGGGCATAGAACCAGCCATACGAAGCCCAATTTCAACGCTAACGGCCCACCAACTAAGTCCAAGGCCCATGAGTGTCCAATCTGTGGGCTTGATTTTCCGATTGGACAAGCGTTGGGCGGTCACATGAGGCGCCACCGGGACACCGCCGCCGCCGCCGTATTGAAGAAGTCTGATGGCTGTGGGAAAAGGGTTTTTGAGTTGGATTTGAACTTGCCGCCATTAGAGAACAATTTGAATTTGAAGTTGCAACTGAGTTTATAGGATATTATTCAATTTTTTTAATTCATTTTCCCTATGTTTAAATTAATGGAGATTTAAATATGATTTAAATAAAATATTTTATTTTAATATATTACCTATTTATATATATTATTATATATTAAAATATATAAACATGGTTCTTAAATTTTTAAATTGAATTTAAATTGTTTATCATAAATTTAATTTTTATTTATACGTCTAATAAATCTCTAAACTTAGAGATAATAAATTTGAACATTTGACCTGACATCACACGTTTACTAACCACTAATTAAAAAATTAAAATCTTTGTTCAACAACAAATGTGGAGTAAGTACCTATTTATGTAAATTTATTATAATTTTGTTCTAACATTTTTCTTCTTAATTAATTTTTGAAAAAATATTAAAAAGTTTTACGCGTTTTATTCTCGACAAAACTTTGAACCAAATGCCATTAAAAAAAAATTTATGGGTATAAAAATATTGGAACTTTTGAGGTAAGGGTACATTAAGGTTTGCAAGGTTTTGTAGATTTATGAACGTCAGATTAATAGTTAAATATAGAAAAAAGTTAGTAAAAAGTGGAGAGGAAATGGAGCAACGAGTTATTGCTTGAAGCATATGCTTAGGAGATCCTCTTCTCCCACAGCATCAAAACCAACCCCATCCACCCTCCCATCTCTCCAAAGCTTCCATCTTTCTTGATCTTGTGACACCATCCATCCATCCATGCCTTCCCCTTTCATGTCTCCTCCTCCCTTGCAGGTCAGATTCTCGATGGCTTCTCGGGCATTCGACAACCATGGCGTGAAGAAACGAGAACGTGGGTCTTGACCATTACGCGAACACGGTGGTGCGATCACATGCATCGTTTTGGGCAACGAATACTCTTTGGCATAGTAGGATTGGTTAAACCAATAGTGAAATCAATGTGTACTGAAGAAGCTACCTTTTGTAAGGGATTGGAAGAGAGCTTGGTATTTTGTTAGTTTAATTTGCTCTCTCTTTGTTCTTCTCTTTGAGTAATGTTTTTTGGTATGAAATATTTATGGTGGATTAATGGTTCTTCTACGAAATTTCCTTACAATAATTTACATGAATGAACAACAACATTGTTAAGAAAAAAATAGAATTTATTATCATTATTTGATATATTATTTCGATTTGAATTTCTGCTGCTCTAAATTTCAACAATTAAATAGAATGAGCTTTAGTTTGTATTAATTTTATGGGTTTGATATAATTTTTAATTCTCTCTAGTATGTGTATGGCTAGATCACTTCTTTTTTTTCGGCTAGAGTAACTAATTCTCGAGGTGGAAACTCCAATTCGAGTCTTGGGTCTTAATTCTTAAGATGGAAGCTTCAATCAATCTTAATGATCTTCCGAGTCTTAGGTCTTGATTTGTTGTTATGAACATTTTCTGATGTAAACATGTAAGTTTGTGTGAATTTGATCAAAATATGAGTTTATTGTCCAATTTTGATACAGATTGAAGCATAACTTGTTCTTTATCTCAAAATTTCATTCCAATTTGATTTGGGTTTGGGATTGAATTATAATTACTCCCAAAACTTTGGAAGATTCGACACTAATCTCAACCTAACAAAAAAACATCAGACATTAATAATAGAATGCTCAATAGGCATTTTAATTAAATAACCACTATCGGTCATTCACATCGTCAACAAAGAATAAAATAAAAGCCACAGCTTTTAAACAGGCCTGCTCAAACAAAATTTGATAGAACTTCAGAACTTAAATGTAACAGAGAACAAAGTGTTGGGTGCCAATAAAAACACACTCGAGGGATTCAAAAAGCAATGGTTCTCTTCCAATATAATTTTAAAAAACCAAAATGTCTTAACCAAAACAATCAAATTATCTTGGAATTAAATTACTGGCAACACAAAATCTAATTATTACAGGATAAGATCTTTCTTTACCGAGAAAATATAGTACTATTCGAAAGCTATGTCAAAATTCCATAATGGGTGTGGCTCAAAACCATGTTCAATAGAAGAAACCAAGGACTTTCCCTCCAACATTCTTCCTTCTAGCCTCCTCATGATCCATAATTCCAGCAGATGTTGTCAGCACAATGAATCCAAACTGCAGACATGAATTTTATAAATAAGATTACAGAACAATTGGCAGAACTAAGCACTGCTAGTTTAGAGCAATGCAATATGAACTTTGTAGCCATTGGAAAAATACGCATCTAATCCATTACATAAGTAGACTGATTCACCCTCTAAAAGATCATTCTAAGAGACAAGAATTCCATTACAGGTAAATTTGGAGAGTCAAAACTCTCAAGTATTACGTTTTAGAAAATTAACAGGTTTTGAAAACTAACCTGTCTGGAAGGAAGCAGCCTAGCAGTCCAGCCTTCAATTTCCTTGACACCCACATCAAAACGAGGACTAATAACCCCACACTTGTTCAGCCTACCGTTGAGTTCAACAACAATTTTTCCAGATCTATGATCGTCGACATACTCAAATTCCCCAATATATCCTATGAAAACAAAAATTAATAATAATCAATACCTCGGGAGAAATTGCTGCCGTGAAGTCAAATCAAAGAGGTGGTGAAGTAAGCAATCAAACCGTGCTTCTGCATAACCATAAGAAACTTGATGATCACTTTAGAGGAAGGCCTGATCATGACCTGTCGTTTCCCCCTCTTCTCTGCATTGTACATGCTTTTAAGAGCGTCGTTCAAGACACTAATTCTCACCATCCTTCCAAATTAAAGCTTCATATGATTTGCAGATGAAGCAGAGAAAGAGAGGAAAAAAACCACAAAAACGTTAAAACCTATCCTTGATCATCGCATCCAAAACATGTCTACGAGAAAAAGCAAACCAAAAGCAAAAACTCCAACACATTGAAAATCCGTTGCTAAAATACTACAGTCACTACCAAAATCCAAACTTAATTGCATTTAAAATCCGCATTCAACGACGAAATGGAGTCCCCATCGACGAACCAGTGATTACAATAACCATTTAACAGGTCAATCAATGCTAAAAGAGACGCAGAAGCACATAACTGTAGAACAGAGGTCGATCTGAGAGGAATTGAAGAGAAGTGAGAGGAGTACCTGGATCACAGAAGGAGGCGTCCGTCAGCTTCAACTATGAACAAAGGGCATTAGGGTTTGCGTCTAGATATGTTTATAAATCCTGGAGAGGGAGACCAAAGCCCTCTCTTGGGCCTTAATAATAAACAAATGAGTTGAAATTGAGCCTTCTTTATTGGGCCTTGATAAACAAATGAGCTGAAATTGGGCCTTCTTTCTTGGGCTTAATAAACAAATGAGTTGAAATTGGGCCTTTCTTTTTTGAGCCTTAATAAACAAAGGAGTTGAAATTGAGCATTCTTTATTGGGTCTTGATAAACAAATGAGTTGAAATTGGGCCTTCATTCTTGGGCTTAATAAAAAATGAGTTGAAAGTGTGCCTTCTTTCTTGGGCCTTAATAAACAAATGAGTTTGAAATTGGGGCTTAATAATCAAATGAGTTAAAAATGGGCCTTCATTTTGGGCCTCGATAAACAAGTGAGTTAAAATTCGGCCTTAATAAACAAATGAGTTGAACTTGGGCCTTCTTTCTTGGGCCTTAATAAACAAATGAGTTGAAATTGGGCCTTCTTTCTTGGGCCTTAATAAATAAATGAGTTAAAATTGGGCCTTTTGGGCCTTAATAAACAAATGAGTTGAAATTGGGCCTTCTTTTTTGGGGTGGGTTTCTTTCGATAAGGATGCATCTGAACGTTTTTCTATTTTCGCAGATTATATTTGATTGGAAAAATTGGTTGTCATATCGCAAATTATATACATATAATGATTTTGCATTGAAGGCCCAAAAAATAATTCTTATATGGATTAAAATGATGCAAATGCTCCTGAATGTTTGGAAGGAATGGCCAACCGACTCGGCACGCAGCTGTTCATCAGCAGTATATCTCTCTATCTCACTCGAAACGTTTCAGGCGAATGTTTCTTATCAATCTTTAAATTGATAATTTTAATTTTTGGCCCAGGACTGTCATCATACACTACGATCGAACGCCTCGAGACTCTGTTTTCACCATTCGGTTCAGTCTCTGAAGGTACATATCTCTCTTCCCATATCCCCTTTCAGTTCGTATTTCCTTTCCCTTCAATGTCAAATTCACCATGTGCAGCTCGGCTAATCAGAGACCCCAAAACCCAGAGGCCCAAAGGGTTCGGTTTTGTCACATTTCAGTCACCGGATGAGGCGAAGAAGGCTCTTCAAGCCATGGATGGTCGGGTATGTTGTCTCCCTGTTTACGCACATAACCTGTTCGACGAAATGTCTGACTGACATTTTGTATGCAACTTGCAATTGTCCCATCTGTAATATGTATCTATTGGGCTTTATTGATATGAGCTTTCAACTTAGACTCTGATTTTGGTGATTAATGGTTATGGATAGTGTTTTAAGGTGTCATCGTCAAGGAGGGTAGCTAAGATATGTTTGAAAAATGATGCAGATAGTTGATGGAAGGTTGATTTTTGTTGAATTTGCGAAGACTAGGGGACATGGGGTGGATGCTGCATCTAGATAAAGAACATCATTCACTATGATACTTGAAGGTTGATTTTTTTTCCCATTCATTTGGAAAGGAAACTACAAGATTAGGAGTGTAATAATCTAATGTTCTGTTGGGTTAACTTAGCTTCTCAGCTTGAAAGCCAACTATTTCAGCAGAATTTTGGTTTCAATAGGACATGGGACAGGGGCCTTTACTTTCTTTGAATGCTTGCTATTTGCTAACATGGTGCTTGCCTACAAATGGTTTCTCTTAACTTGTGACTTATGTTCTTGGAGTTGTTCAAGCAAGAAATTCTATGCCTGAAAGATGTCAAGTCAACTCCATGGGAATTAATAGTTGTCTCGATACACATTTTGATTCATGCAAGGTGTGTCTCATGCTTTCTTCTTGCAGAAGGGTTCAAAGGTTTTCAAGTGATGGATCTTCTAGCTCTAACTTTGGTGAATGTCCTAATGGCTTGTGGAACGTGGTTTGAAATGTTCACTCACTAACCTCTCATCGGAATAATCATTGAACCGTGAACATATAAATGAAGGCCGGAGGCATTCCAAAATTTGAGGCTAGCACTACACGGCTTGCTTCAAGAGTCTCGATTCAATTACATGGTGTGTCTACTTTTTCAACTGAAACCTAAGGTTAAAATTCTCATATTGTGATGTCTCATATTGGTTGGGGAGAACAACAAAACACACTTTATAAGAGTGTGGAAACCTTCCCCTAGCATACACGTTTTAAAGCCTTGAGGGGAAGCCCGAAAATGGAAGTCCAAAGAGGACAATATCTGCTAGCGGTGAATTTGGGTCGTTACAAAAGATATCAGAGCCAGACACTAAATTATGTGCCAACGAGAAGGTTGTTCCCCAAAGGGTAGACACGAGAGGGTGTGCCAGTAAGGATGCTGGACTCCAAAGGGGTTGAATTTGGGGGAGGGGGGGTGCCACATTGATTGGAGAAAGAAACGAGTACCATTGAGGATGCTGCGCCTCGAAGGAGGATAATATCTGTTAGCAGTGGATTTGGATTGTTACGCATATCCTATATTTGTTGTACCCAAAATAATCTCGCCAATCATCCAACCATTGTACCATTGTAGCACTTTGGTGGGGCTTATGTTGGTGTTAATGAGTTTGTCTATGGTGGTTCTAACGAGAGAATCCGTGGTTCTTTTAGGTACAAACTTAGAACACCCTATCTCTTCTCCTTGAGTTTATGGCCATGCATTATGGTGGAGGTCAAACTAGGGATGTCAATCCGCCACTTGAGGATAGGTAGCCCAAGTTCATTTCAACCAACTCTTCTTATTGTTTAACCTTTGAGTAGAGTTTGTCTAGATGATGATCGATCACTTGATGTGATCACAAGTATTCGTAATCGTATCATACATATCGTTCATGTGAAGATAGTAGGAAGCAAGGATCATTTCAACCTACTTTGTATAATAAAAATGTATTATTACCGTTAATTTTAGATAAAAACCATTAATACTTTGTATAAAAAAAATGTTATTAATTTCAACCTACTTTCTTATCTTCATTAAAAAAAATGGTAACATTAATTTTAACGAGTCATAAACGTTTTACAACTATAAAAAAAATAATAATAATAATATTAATTAATTAATTAATTGTTGGATGAATCGATTTGGCAACGACTTGAAAGGTTGGAAGGCTGTGATAGTGACCATAACGGATACTCTTAACGGGTTTTTTTACTCCAAAAGTAATTTTAAAAACATTCATAAATGCTTGAATAATTTAACTTATTTATTTATTTTGTAGGAATCTATTTTACAAGCTACCAATGAGAAAATTTTGCAAATAAATATATATATATTTTTTAAAAATGAGATGGCCCGAATGTAAATATCCAAAGTAAAAAAACGAAAGAATCCCTCTCATGGATTTACTATGTTATTCTTGTTTTATGGTTAAACCAAAATATTAAAAATCTCCTCTCTTCTGATTGGTCCATTTTGAAAAACGCGGATCGCTCGACAGTACATCCACACCCGTCGATTGAACTGTATCGTACGGTCAAACGTGCACCCATTTCTGAATCCGCCTCCCTTCCCCAAATGCCCGTAGTTTTATGCCACTATATAATTCTTCCCGCAAAACCAACTTCTCATTGTTATATCCACTGGGCTGATTTCATTTTCCTGTAATTCCCTCAAGTTCCTCTGATTTCCGGCGATCAGGTTAGGTTTCGATGGACGCAAGCGGCAAGTTGAAGAAGGGAGCTGGTGGCAGAAAGGGCGGTGGCCCGAAGAAGAAGCCTGTTTCTCGCTCTGTTAAGGCCGGCCTCCAGTTCCCCGTCGGTAGAATTGGTAGATATTTGAAGAATGGCCGGTATGCTCGACGTGTCGGTACTGGAGCTCCGGTCTACATGGCCGCCGTTCTTGAGTATCTCGCCGCTGAGGTACCTGCTGAACTCTATTTGCTCTCTTAGATCTGTGTTTCTTTCTGTTTGATGTGGATGAGTTCTTCATAACTGCTAGTTAGGGATTTGAGTTTAATTCAGGAACTAGATTCTTATCTCTTCGATTGGATGTTACTACTTTTAATTTTGCTATACTATTAGGCCTGTTTTATTCCAGGGGAATAAATTCAGAAATTCAAAGGGCTGATGAATTTCAAGCTCATGATCTCATGAATTTGAGCTTCGGTTGTGTAATTTAGCTTTCCGATACGTGATTACTGTAATCTGGAACTCAATTATTGTTTGGATTGCTGAATTCAGTCGTTCGATTGACTGCGCATGATCGCAACTTAGGGTTTATATTCTAACATTTCCAGTACAAATCTGTTTTCCTCTGCATAATCCTCTACGGATTGCATGTTGTTAGTCTCTAATCTGTCACAAACGGGGGTAAATTAGGTGCTGGAGTTGGCTGGAAATGCAGCCCGGGACAACAAAAAGAACAGGATAATTCCAAGGCATGTATTGTTGGCCATAAGGAATGATGAGGAACTTGGGAAATTGCTTGCTGGTGTAACAATTGCTCATGGTGGTGTTCTTCCAAACATAAACCCTGTTCTGTTGCCAAAGAAAAGTGAGAAAGCTGCTAGTAAAGAACCGAAATCTCCATCGAAGACCCCCAAGGGAGCAAAATCCCCAAAGAAGGCCTAGGTTTTTTCTTTCTAATCTGAAAACTTGACTGTTCTTTGCCCATTTGTATGTACTTTGTTGGCCTTTTAGGATCATCTTCTGTGTTGTTTATCAATGTAAGCTTAAAACTGGAGAATTGGGAGAGACTCTATCTCTCCCACCATCTTAATGAATCAAACTCTGTACTGGTTATGATTGTTTAGCCATCAATTCTTTTCTCTTCCTTTTGTTCACATCTTAAATGGATAAGGTTGAAAGAACAGAAATACCTAATGGACTGAGGTCCCAAATTCAAACCTTGATGCTAGTGTTCCATTATTTCTTTCCAGCTCAAATCTTCATAGAATAGCAAAGAAATTCGTGTGCCAACCTTGAACCAGACAGAATGAGAATATGGCAGTCTTCTCTTCTTGCCTTCCAAGAATGAATCATTAAGGGAATAGAAAGAGTGTTTGTGGGCACGTCTACAAGTCATAATGAGTTTTAGTTATGGGTTTGTTAGCCGTAAATTGTGATTCTTTTAGTAATGTCAACTCTTAACTCTTCAAACAATTTGATTACATCCTTTAAATTTAGATTGGACTCTATCTTGAGATTACAATTCAAGAAACAAGTTAGATGAGTTGTAGCTATGATTACCCAAAAAATAAGAATGATCAATTTTATTTCTATGTTGTTAGCATACATGAACCATACAAGAACAAGATGTTTTGGCTTATTATGTATTGTTATCGGTCTAATAGTTGTTTATTATGTATTGTTATCGGTCTAATAGTTGTAAAACTTATCTATTAGTGAGAAATTTTCATACTTTTATAAAAAATGTTGTCCTTTTCAATCCATGTGAGATTTCACGTGCTCTTAGCTAAGTTGTGAAAAAAGGTCATTTAACTTATTAAAAATGAACTCAACCAACTTTAACCTAATCACATAAACTTTAAAATAACAAGCTTATTATAGCCTATGAGTTGAGAAATGATATGGAGTGACTTTCCTTTGTGGCTATTGATATTTACATTTTCGTGTCTCATACCTTATGTTCGACAAAATTGAGAGAACCCAAATAACATCTCGATCCTCTAAAATACTATTCTTTTCACCCCAGTTTTTAAGAGGGAACTTAGTACTATATTTTGTGGTATCATTTTATTATTGTTTTAGAGTTAATTAGGATGTTTGTTGAGTAGTGATCTGAACAGAAACGACAAAAGATAATAATGATAAACGACAAAAATAATAATGATCCATATCTTAGGTTAAACGACAAAAATAATAACGACCCATATCTTAGATTATACGAGAATCTAACCGTTAGAAAAAGTGAGATCAAAGTTGATTGAAGATGGTTGATTGTTTTATTTATTTTTTAAAACTCGATTTAGAGTGAGGGCTGATGATAAATCTATGTACATAGACATAACTGAGATATAAATGGAGAAACAATCTAATCGTTGGAGTCCATGGAACTACAGCCTTAGAGCATAGATTGGGCTTGAAGATCACATCTTGGCCGATAGGGCTTGTGGGTCGAGAGTAGTGCATGTGGGGGGGCTTCCCGTGCAGGTTATTTGGGCCCTTGAGGTCACCATGAGCGCCAAATTTCGACCATGCAGCTTGGGAAGATGAAGGTTTTCAATGGATTCATTAAATGTCTTGGTGATAGTTATTATACTCTTGATTTGGCATTTTTCATAGACCTTTTAAACATGCACATGTATATATTTCAAGATATTTATATTTTAACATATCATCATTTAACCATAAAATCTAAATACGATTATATATGTATAATAAAAGCTATTCACGACATTTTTCCATTAGGTTGTTCGTCTGTAGATACTATTTTTTTTTTAATAATTTCTCGGGAAGGTTTACCTCACTTTCTAGGAAATAAAGTACAAGTCCTATCTTGAGTAAGAAAAAAGGAAAACCCTTTCCTATCTAATATTAGGTCCACATCTCTTTTATAGGATTATAATGTTGTAAACTATATGCATAAATTTTGAATTATATAAAAAATAATAGACCATTAATTGATAACCCCTTAATAATTAAACCCTTTTCCTCCAACAAAAGCAACCAAATCTTTCTTCTCTTTAGAGTAAATGTCATTTGTTGGTACCCATTAATCTTTGTGTTTCTACATTTGGTATGATATTATATATGCAAATACCTTTTAGAGGACTAAAGTAGGCGATTAGAAATAGCTAAAGAATTGAACCTAGTATAACCATTTTTTGGGAAATAAAGACAGATGGAACATAATGGAGGTTCGAACTGACTGATGTTGAAGACTCAGTGGATGAAGAGAGACAGATGAAACTCAGTGAAGGTTCGAAATGACTAATGTTGAAGATTCAGTGGATGAATAGAGTGATGAAACTCAGTGGAGGTCCGAATTGACTGATGTTGAAGACTCAGTGGATGAAGAGAGACTGATGAAACTCAGTGAAGGTTCGAAATGACTAATGTTGAAGATTCAGTGGATGAATAGAGTGATGAAACTCAGTGGAGGTTCGAATTGACTGATGTTGAAGACTCAGTGGATGAAGAGAGACTGATGAAACTCAGTGGAGGTTCGAACTGACTGATGTTGAAGACTAAGTGGATGAATAGAGACTGATGAAACTCAGTGGAGGTCCGAACTAACTGATGTTGAAGACTCAATGGATGAAGAGAGACAGATGAAACTTTGTGAGGGACTGAATTAACTAATGTTGAAGATTCGGTGAATGAGTGGTTATGGTTAGGGATGAAAGACCACTAAAACCTAGAGCTAGCTCGATTCTTCTCAAAATGTCATTATTGAGCAAAGAATGCAATAGCTTTGGTTAGTGTAAAATTCAAAATAACATAACCAAATAAATGAATTGAATGCTAAACCTACCTCTCTCTTCTTATAAAAAGCCAATCTTTTCTTCTCAAACACATAGCTTAATTTCAGCTCCCAAAATCTATGGCCCTCTTCCTCTCTCACATGGAGCCATTGGTATTGCTATACGCAATCCCCTTTGTGTATTTGGTACTCAAATTATGGAAGCATTTGGATGCGAAGAGGGACCAACAATGCTACATTTTGGACTACCAATGCTTCAAACCAACCGATGATAGAATGCTTGACACTCAGCTCTGCCGAGACCTTTTGATGCGCTCCAAAACTCTTGGCCTTGAAGAGTTCAAGTTCCTTCTCAAAGCCATTGTCAACTCCGGCCTCGGCGAGCAAACCTATGGCCCTAGTGTCGTCTTCTCCGCCACCGAACACTGCCCTTTGCTTCTTGACGCCATCTCCGAGATGGATGAGTTCTTCCACGACTCCCTTCAAAAGCTCTTCGACAAATCCCATGTTTCCCCTGACGAAATCGATATCCTCGTTGTCAACATCTCTTCCATGTCCACCTCCCCTTCTTTTGCCTCTAGAATCATCAACAGGTCTTTTCTTTTCTTTAACGATCGATACTATGTTATCATCTCAAAAGTTATGATTTTCTTGAATTTTACATGTTAAATTGGAATAGGTACAAAATGAGAGAAGACATTAAAGTGTTCAACATAAGTGGAATGGGGTGCAGTGCGAGCTTAATCTCTATAGACATTGTGAGACGACTGTTCAAATCTTACAAGAACTCGTACGCGATCGTTGTGACCTCCGAGTCTCTAACTCCAAATTGGTATCTGGGTAACGACCGTTCCATGATTCTAGCCAACTGTTTGTTCCGAATTGGCGGCGCCGCCATACTCTTGACGAATAAAAGGAACATGAAGAACAAAGCCATGTTGAAGCTCAAGTGTCTTGTTAGAACCCACCATGGAGCTGTGGATGAGTCTTATGGTTGTTGCGTTCAAAAGGAAGACGACAAAGGAAACTTAGGTAAGAAGAAAATACGATTTCATATCGTGATAGTCTCATTGAATAATTTGTTAATTTTTTACGAAATTTTTTATCTTTTAAGGCATTTATCTGGGAAAGAACCTTCCAAAGGCAGCAACAAGTGCATTCATTGACAACCTAACAGAAATCTCCCCCAAAATCCTTCCCATAACAGAGATAATCCGGCTGACATTATCCAAAATAATCCACCAACTCTCCTCCACTGGCTCGTGGAAGCCGCAGCGGCCGGACTTCCGAACAGCGGCGGAGCATTTCTGCCTGCACACCGGAGGAAAGGCAGTGATAAATGGGGTTGGAAAGAGCTTGAGGCTGACGGAGCGAGATCTGGAGCCAGCCCGAATGACCCTTCACCGATTTGGAAACACATCAGCCAGCAGCCTGTGGTACGTGTTGGGCTACATGGAGGCCAAGAAGAGGCTGAAGAAGGGCGATAGAGTTCTTATGATAAGCTTTGGCGCAGGGTTTAAATGCAACAGCTGCTTGTGGGAAGTGACGGCGGCGGATTTGGGTGGTCGGAAGGGTAATGTGTGGGAAGATTGCATTAATGGCTACCCGCCGGTGTCTTTGGTTAACCCTTTCTTGGAAAGGTTCGGCTGGATTCAGAATGAAGATGCTTCCACTTTCAAGTCACTTTGATTCATACCTTTTTAGTTAAGAAAAATTAAATTTTTTTTCGTTTTATATTTGAAAATTTCGAGATTAAAACATGACCCTTAGCGGTAATAGATGTTTTATCTGTTTGTAGTGTAACTCGAGTAGTATAAGCTAAGCTATTTTATCTACTGTAAAAGTTATTTAATTAAAATTACTGTACTCGAAATTTAATATATTATCAAATGATATGTCAAATTATGAATCAAATGATGTCACGTGTGAATTGACTTAAAAGATAATAAATATTAATTATTTATATTTAGATATAAATGATAATTGATGTCTCAAAATTTAGTTTATTTAATAAATTAAATAGAGGTAAGAGAATAAGTTAGTGTTATAAATTATATTATTATACTAAATAGTTTCATATTTTAAGATATTAGTTCAAAGTAACACTTAATATTAACAATTATATGTAGTTATTAAGAAATAATTAAATAAGTATAAATTAATTTAAATATTAATAAGAGCTTAATATTAGACAATTACAATACTATATAATATTAAATGCAAATGTAGTATATAAATGATGGTGGTGAGTAATTTATTAATTAATAGTTAAATAAAATAATTAAATAAACAAGAATTCATTAATATTAGATTAATTATTAATTTTTATACTCGCTTTATTAATTTTTAGGAGGATAATTTTTTTATTAGTTTTATTACAAAATTAATTATTATTTTTTTGATAAATATAGTCAACATCAACTTTTTTTTTTTTTTTAAATCATAAATTAAAATGTCACACATTAAATATGGATATTTTCTCATATAAAATTTCATAAATCCAAATAAATGGTTTATGATTTTATAAAACATAATTAATGACAATGTGGCAGCCACCAAACTTTGTGGAACTCCCAACTAACTTCTGTCATATCTAAATAATAATAATAATAATAATTTTATTTTTTATTTTTTTATTTAAAAAATATTTCAAAGTTGATAATATTTGTAATAATAATGACGTGAAAGGATTATTTATTAGTGTTTTATTTAATCATAAGAACTAATTGGTGTCATGTAATTGTATGAATCCATATTATTATATTCTAATTTTACCCGATACTTTTTAAAGAAAATTTTGAAATGGGTCTATATGAATCTGTAATATTATGAATCCATATTATTACCTTCCAATTTCATCTCAAAACGTCCCAAAGAAAATTTTGAAATGGGTTAATATTGACGGGTTGGTGTAAAATTAACTCATTCTCATAATTAGAATGTTATGATTTTAACTTTAGCACTCACACGAAAACTTAAAATCGTAAGTACTAAATTCTAACTATTTTTAAATTACAAAGACTAAATTTGTAATAGGGGTGTACATAGTCCTGGTTGGGTTGAGTTGACGGATTTTTTTGACCCAGCCCAACCCTCTATTTTCGGGTGGGGTTTGGGTTGGGTTGTCAATTTTTTTTAAAAATTTTATTTATCGACTATTTATAATTATTCGAATATAATCTTACATAAAATATATTAAAAGCTCACAAGCAAACACAAATACTATAGCATAGTATTAGGTGTATTATGAACATACTTTTTCTATGAGTATTATAAACATACATTTAATAATATTAATTTATGTTTAAAATACGAGTATTAAACAATTTTATTATTATATTACAAAATAATATAGTATATTATTATGAGTATCATGAACAACATTTAATAATGTTAGGTACAAACTCAAGACAATAGGTTGTCACACATGAGATCATAAAGAGAGAACTTCCCAACCCATTACTTAATATAGTATTTATCATTACACATAATGTTTCATATTAAATGAGATTGGTTATATTTTTCAACTTATAAATTTCAAATACTTAATAGTACTTTGCATTAATTGCACATGCCATGTCAACAAAAATAACAAATAAAAATAACTCTACAAAATACATTTTAAAACCGCTAGTTTTTGTTCTGTAAACATATATCTAAATTTTAAAGATTTTTAAAGGAGTCTGACGGCTGAGAGGAGGTTACTAATGATGATATATGAAAAAGGGCCTCAAAATATCTCAAAACCCTTCCTCCATCACGTGACGAACGACAACTGGTCAAAAAGATGTCCATTAAAAGTAATTTGGTCCTATCTAGAGGAGCCTCTCAGTAAGGCAATTTGGTCGCTAATTAAATAAGCATGTCATATTTATTTATACAAATATTAGATAATTCAGCAACTTCCTAGTTAGATTATAAATTGTTTATTATCATTTTAAAGATCGATGTGTGGCTCTATAATTATTAAAATTAAAAAATAAAAATATAATGAGACGTGCAACAAATCAAACATATATCAAATTGTTTGTTTATTCAAACCGGAAATGAATCATTTCTTTGTAACAATTTCATTTTTTTTTTTCAATTTGAGCATAGTTCAATGTTATATTTAATAAATGTGGAATCTTAAATCTTCAATCTCACACATTATTGAAATAAAAAAAAATAAAAAAAATAAGTTTATATTGAACCATTAAAATATTTAATATCTTATTAACATAAATCAAATTAAGTTTTTGATTTATAATTTGTACCATTTATATTTGAATTTTTTTTATTTATTTCAGCTCCAAACCGTATTTATTTATTCCTAACACGTTTTTTAGGGCAGTGATTTATTTGCTCAACTTTCATTTGTACAAGAGGGTACTTTTTTTTTTCCTTTTTTTTTTTTTTTTTTTTGTGAGAAATAAGTTGTCCCACAATTAATGATCTTTAATATAGTTAGGGCAACTCAATAAATGAAAATATCTAATACTTAATATGTTGGTACGATATTTGTTGAATTTTACAACTAAATATGTTCATTTGGTCTCGAGAGCTAACTCCAAACAAGGCGAAAAATCATCAATAAACAGATAATATTAATTTTGCACAACTTTATATATATATCACAATGATTTAAAATTTGAATAATTCATAAAAAAAAAATATTGTTTAAAAAGATAATAAACAAAGAAACTTGTATTGCTTTAACAAGAATTTAAATATATATATATATATATATATATATATATATATTTCCTTCTTTTCTTTTTGTATAAAATATAAAATAAAAAAAAATTATAAATTGTCTTGTTATGGGCCATCTGAAGTGAGCCCAAGCCCAACTTTCAATAGTAAGCCCACAAACATGAATCATAGACGCACTTTTACTATAATAAAGCTTATGATCAAACTTAGAAATCATGCCAAAAGACATTAGAGTTGAGGAGATCAAGAGCAATAATGCGCCAAAAATGTATTTATACATAGCTTCAACCATATGGTGTGTCTCTCTCGATGTGGAACGAGCAAATAAATATTCATTTTCATCCTCGTTCTTAAAACTCATGGCTTCAAACTTCGATCATAGCCATGGCTAGGTAAGTCTTCGGACCTCAAATTCTTCTAGCTAACTTAAGGATCGAACCAGGTGTAGCAAACATCATATTGATGTGCAGTTTGTTTTATTTCACCATGTGATGTCACATTCTTCTCTCTCACGTAAAAGTCAAATGTATTTTTTTTTTTTTTTTGTCGGAATTTTGGTTACTACATAGTCATGAATTAGAATATATTGTTATCAGATTTTTCTGCTCAATGTGAACAACTTAGAGAATTTACATCGCTTCCATATACAATCCACTGCAAATTAATCAATCAAACCAAAGATAAAAAATAAAAAAGTATATATATGTCCTTGTCCTAAAACCACCACTGTTCCACCGCCGCCTCATCCACTCCGCCGACCACCATGAAAATGATATGGCGACGAAGACAAAGACGAGGAAGAAGAAACACTCCCTCCCAAATTCCCATCGCCGTGAAGTAAATCAGATAAATAGTTCCCCAAATCATCTGGCGCAAATCTCACCTCTGAATCACATCCGAAAAGCTTCTCCAATCGTGAACGGTATTTGATGTAAAACTCACCGTAGAGTGTTCCGAGTTTTTTCCCCAGCGAGATCTTTATGTGCTCACGCAGCTTTGAATCCGTCACGATCCACGAGGCTTGATGTCTATAGGCTTCTTCGAATGCGATGTTGAAATCGTGGAAGTGTTTTCTGGCTCTTTCCGGTGAGATATCCGCCGTCGGATTCTCCGGCAGCGAAAGAAACACTCTACTCCATCCCATCCGTTGGTAGCTCGACGCGTACTGCTTCACCTTTGCCTCATGGCTCTCGATCCATTCGTCTCCTAGAAGGAATCTGAGATTCGAGGTTCGTGCCTTCACGACAATGTACTTGAGGTTGTTCGCCAGGAAGATGTACGACAGAGGAGCGTCGAGGTAGAGCTCCGCTTTACTGTCGAGCTTCGAGAGGAGGACCAGAATTATCCAGGCCAAGCGTATGGTGAGAGGATTTTCTTCCGAATCGTTACCGCCAAAGAAGGATTCCGGCAATGGAGAATGAAGCATCAACGGCCAGTCAGCGACTATTCCGGGGAGGATTCCGCTGTAGTCGCTGAGAAATGAGATGTAGTTCATCACGTAGCGAGTGAGTGGATGAACTCCGCCGCTTGGCACTGGCGTTTTGGAGGAATCTTTCTGGATGTGAGATTCGAAATCGACGAGCATAGAGCGGATGCTTTCGGCGATTTTTGTTAGCGAATGGTCGATTAAAGATCGGATGGAGGACGTCGATTCGCAAGAGAACATCGATTCGATTTCCGGCAAGAGATCGAAGATCACTTCGTAGAGATTGAGAATCAGGAAAATTTTCTCCGGAGTTTTCTTCGATTTCACCGCCATTTCCGGGAAGCCAAACAGAGTCAGAGCGCTCTCTCTGGTAATTTCTGAGAAAACAGACTCTCTAATCATATCAGAAATCGAGAAAACTTGATCGCAAAGGAATTTCTCTGGTTCGAAGAAATTTTTAACAGCAATTTTCACAGCGTTCAGCCAATTCTTGATCTTCACTTCCAAAACCTCCCACTCCATCCTATGAACATGATGATAACTCGTCTTTGCAACTCCGAGATTGTACAATCCTTCCTCAACAATCGATTTCCTAGTAACAGTGTAAATCTTCACACATTCCTTACTGTAACCAGCAGAAATCATACCTTCCGCAATCGACTTCAAATCCGCAATAACCGATCTAGAAATCCGCTCCTCTTCAGTAACATCTTCATTCGCAAATCGCAAATCGTCCTCCGACTCATCCTCCAAATCAGAGTTACCGGTCAAACCGGAATCCCTAGACGACCGATTCGAAATCGATTCCGGATCCAGATGCGCCCGATTATCAGACAAAATCCGATGAAACTCCCTCTGCAACCTCTTCATCGCAGTCTGCATCAGATTCTGAGCGCGAACAAGATGGCGAGATTTCATATTCTCAGAGCCAAAATACTTCATCGCCGTCTGTAAATCCTTAACGGCCTTGAGGTACTGCTTAGCCTCGTAACCATCTTCTTGGAACAAAGGAGTAATATCGGCATAAGACGAAATAGCACGGTCCCACTTCGTAATTAAGATTTCCGCAACGTCGATATTCTCCTCCATTAGAGACTCGGACAAGGCATGCGACGGCGTCGTTGGTGCAGAGGAACGAGACGGCGTAGATCTAGTCGGAGAATGAGACGGCGTCGTTCTGGCCGGAGAATGCGAGGGCGTTAAAGACCTGAAGAAATGGTTTCTCATCCTTTGAAGGCAAAGAAGAAAAGAGTTGAGTATCTGGTAATGGCTATGGCGGCAAAGAGAAACTGAAAGAGGATTTTGTAGAGAGGAAACGGAGGAGGGACGAGGGAGTGGGATTGTATCAGGAAGCTTCGAAACAGTTGAAAATGGAGATTGAAGCTTTTTGGACCTTTTGACTTTCTTTCCTTCTCAACTCGAACGAGTCAACTCATACTTACGCGGCCTTGTTTATTTTGTGCCGTTGCTTTCTGTTTCCCGTTTTATTTGACCAAAACGATTCGGATTTGGTCAGAAAAACGTGAGACATATTTAAAATTTATTATAAAATGAATTTATTATTATTATTATGACTAATTCAACATTTTTTCTGACATATAATAAAGATAACATATATTAAAAAAGTTAATGAAGTACTTTAAATACGTGAATTAATATATAAAGTGTAATACTATTTTATTTTATATAAAATAATAATAATATATATTAATACTATTTGCAACTCGTGGTCCATGCAAAAAGTTAAATTTATTAAGAGAGACCACCAAGCACAACCGTTGAAAGGACAAAAAAAGAAAATAAATGGAGGGCTGTTGTATGCCTTTGGAAGCATTTATCTTTTTAGTTAAATTATCATTTTATTCCTTGCCTTTTTAATTTATTTTATTTCTGCCCTTTTCGGGTAAAAATCGAAAAGGTTGGACAAAATCTCGACATGACAGATAATTGAAACCACGTGGTGACGATTAAACCCATTTGCGTAGATTAAGTATGAAAAAATGATGTTCTTCAACCTCAACATTTTATTCAATGTTCGGGTGAATTATGAAATATCGAGATTAATATTGAAACTAAAATTAGAAAGAAATTCGGGTGAGAATCATGTCTCAGCTCATAATTTGGAATACGGATTCGGTACCTGTTGATCCTGATAGTCTCCTGCCTTTTGAATGTCACAAAGTCAAAACCACAAAATGTAAGGGCGTGGGAAAGTCAAGAAAATTATATGTATATTTTTAAATAATAAAGGAAGAAATCATGAAACTATAATACTATAATATATACGACAAATGTACAGATATAATAATTCATAATTATATTGGTAAATATGAATTACCCTTTATAATTGGTAATTATAAGTTACCATAGTGTTTAGATAAGCTCACTATAGCTCATTTTAATCCGTGGGCTTTCTCGAGTTTCGATAATCTAGCTATACTCTTTACTATTATATGTCATCGTTTCAAATCATAATTATTCCAATTTTATGATGCATACAAGCACCGTCAATTGAGACCATTCATTACTATTGATTATTTTGTGACTATTTGTCAATTCACATATGGTATAATAATCATAATCGTGATGGAGTGACCATCGCGTCTGCCAACTATTGTGATACTATGCACATTCTTGTCAATCTAGATAAGTCTATGGTTAGATGGTAGTTCGAGACTCCCCAAACGAGCTCCACTTAATAACCTAATGACATTACATATCATATGCATCTAGGGCACAATGCAGGTCCTGTCAATCCAAGCAATTCACTATTAAAAATTAACTAGTGACCCCTTTAATAGTCCCAACATTGTATAATCGTAATGAAAGTGACATTCATGCATAAAATACATATGCAAACCCTTGTCAATCGAGACAAGTATACTGGTAGATATTAGTTTGCGTCCTAAGAGTCTGTACATGATAACTAGAAAAAGACTCGGTAATTGTAAATCAGTAGCTGAAAATAGCAAATTTCATAGTCAAATATATATCGTGCATCCAATATCATATTTTATCTAAACTAAATTAGTTTTAAACCGAACTACCCAAATTGGATTTATTAAATTGTTTGACTTTTGAAGGTAGTCCAAGCTATGCCTAATAAATATAACATGAGGTGTTTATTATTGTTATTATTATTATTATTGAAATTATAGAAACCATTAGGTAAGGTTTATAACTCAGTTGTTTTACCTAAATAATAAATATATACAATAAATTTTTAATAAAGGTATTATACAAAAAGATTAAATCTATATATATATAGATTAATAAATACGAGGCTCCAAATTTTTAATGTGAAAAAAGGGAAAGTTATTTAAATTAAAATAAATACAGTTAGAAAGATTTATTAAATACATTTTAATGTTAAGAAATGTATAAACGTGCGAAGATTATTAGATATTTTTAATAATTTATTAAATATAAAAGTTTAGGTCAAATTCAAGTTTTAAATTTTTGTGTCTAAGATGGTAAATATATACAAAAGATTTTAAATTTTTTATTTTGGGTATAATTTCTGATGCAATTAAAATGATAAATTAACTAATTTAATGGATAATATAATTTGTTAACTAGATTCTAATTTTCAATTTTATTTTTAGTATATGCTCAAATTAAAAAATGTTAAGTAGGCAAGCTAAATACCTATTGAACATAAAATTAAATAGAAATCTATTAAATATAAAATAAAAAATTTAATAATTCCCTTCCAGATAATTTTTTTTATTATAATTGTTTTTTAAATTTAGAAATTAATCAGATACAAACCTTTATAATTCTGTTTAACAGACATGATTTAATGACATTTAATAAGTTGAATTTTGTATTTAATAGATTTATATATTTAAAAAATGTTTAATAGATTTTAAAAGTTTAAAATTAACTAAAAAAAATTATTTAATATGTCGGTCAATTTTAAAAAAATATATTTGTAAAATATTTTAAATATTGAAAATTTAGAAGTAACTTTTATTTATTGAAAATAAAAAATAAAAGAAAGGAGATAAGAAAATAGAAAGCTATAAAAAAGGAGAAGGTGTGTAGTCATATGAATGGCGTCCACTGCGGCACCAACCCAAAGTCGCCACTCTTTGTCGGTCATCACGTCCAAGCCCCACGCTGTTGCCTCCATCGGGCGCCAAATCAACCTCGCCTCTTCTCTCTTCTCTCTTCCTTCAAACCCTTTCTCTTCAGCTACACGCCGAACCAACCCCTCTCGATCTTCTCATGCATTCTCTTCTTCCAATTTCTTCTCCCTCCCCCAATCTTCTTCCTCAACCTCAGTTTTCTCATTCATGTTTCTTTCACGGTAGTCGGAGTGATCGAGATTAGGGTTTCGCTTCTGCAATCTCGCTTCTCTCTTCTAGTATGTTTTTGTTTGCTGTGTGATCAGAATGTTTTGGGCGTTGACGCCTCGGAGCTCTGCTTATCTTAGCGCTTTGTCTCTGAAGATTGAGAAGAAGCTTCAGCGGGTTTGTTTTTCCTCACTTTTATGTTTGAATTCCTCATTTTCTTTCTTGTGTTCTGTCGATGCTGAATGAGGAAATGTGATTGGAAGTTAATTTAGATAAGCTGTACTGTACCTTTCGGATAAGAGTTCATGTTTTTACTGTTCGATGTGAATTACGCTTTTTTTTTTCCTTCATCTCTCTTCCCCCTTCTCAATGGGAATTTAACCTGGCCTGATTCGTTGACTGATCTGCTAACTTCTGGATTAATTTATTTAGAATTAGTTCTGCAATTGCGACAGAATCCGGTTATTCCGAGACTGTGAATTCAAGTGGCATTTGTTCCTCTCGTTGTACTAACTTGCTAAAGAGCGGTGAAAAGGGGAATTGTTCGAAGGTTTGTTTGTTTGAGGAGAGAGTACACTACTGCAAGGGTAAAGTGTGCATTTGGCAGGGAATTGGAATTGTGTGATTGGTGGAAGGGGTGGATAGAGAGTGCAAGGGAAGGCTGAGGTAATCTTCTCTTTGCTTATTTTTGGTATTGTTTCCCTTTAATGAATTGGAACCTATCAACTACGATAACTTCGTTGATATAAGCTACTTAGATGAAGAAGAGTGTAAATGAAAAGGTAGGTTTATAAGATGGCATTGATAAATTGGGAATGAAAGGAAATTGTGATCTGATGAACATAGTAGATATCAAGGAATATGGGTTTGAAGAAATGGCATTGTTGGCCATGTATTGGAAGATTTACGCTTGTGTGATTTCTCACGGAGGCACAACTCATGATGTATTTGTGTTTCGAACTCTCCAAAACTCATGATAATTAAGATTAAATACGAAAGAGAACTTCTGAACTTTTTTAACATATTGTTTTTTTGATATTACGATTTCAAACTTGAGTGTATTCTCATAATGATGCTAGCCTCCTTTGATCCGAAAAATGCATAAAGCCTTGGGACTTAAAAGTTTTATTTATATTTGGGGTCCAATTATCAAATCTGTAGAAGTATGATGTTTCTAATTGAATGGCCAATCTGAAGTTATCTCCGTTGTTTCTGCTATGACGAACTGAATGGTGGCTTTTTTGGGTGGCAAGGTGTAATATCACAATCCATTTTTTTGGATGGAAGAATATGGGTGACCACCACCTTAGTAGTACAGTAAACAGTACTACTAATTTAGTCCAAGCATAGTTCAAGATCAACTACCATAAGATTGACACCACGCTTTTCTTGAACTTGAGGCTTATTTATTAGAAGCATAGTCTCCAGGTTGAATCCCTAGTGGATGATTTTGTCTATTTGAAACTTATACTGTATATACTGTTCTCCTTTGCTCCAAAGGTGAAAGAAAAGCTTTCCTCAGGAGGTTTTCGTCCCCACTAGCTGTTTGTATGAATTTGGTAAGATACCTATTGGTTACCTCTACCTGCTAAGTCCACCATACATGAGGTTTCCTCAACAGGATTGGGCATTTTGGTTTAACAATTGTTTGGTTCCCTAGATGCCAACTTAGAATGAAACCTTGAGACAAAACATGTTTTGGGAGTGTGGCATTACTGAAGAAGGGTCCGATACTGAGGTCCACACTCAATGGTCAAATGTTTGTACTCAATTTTTCGGGGGTGAAATGTTGGGCCTTCCTCTCATTGTATTTGTAAAAGGAAGGGTGAAAAGGGAAATTGTGCGACTTTCAAAGGGAGTATTATGCTCTAGAAGGGAGTATATGCGTTTGGCTGGACATTGGATTTGTGTAATTTGTGAAGGGTGAGTAGAGAGTGTAGGGGAAGGCTGAGATAAGGATTCTCCTTGCTTATACTATTTGGTGTTTTTCCTGTAGTGAATTGGAAATTATCATTATGTTTAGGATTTATTTTATTTTATTTGTTAAATGTAGGCATTAGCTTCATCCCAGAGGCGAGATGTGCTGCAAGAATTGTTTGCTGATGTAGCATTAGAAGTAGATGACCGAGCCAAAGGTGAGTTGTGGTAATGCAACATCTTCTATTTGACAATAGTACATAGAACCGCACGTGGAAGAGGGTTTTGGTCCTGTAAGTTTCTCATAATTTCTAAGAGCGCCTGCTGGTTTATTTTTGTAAAAGTTATGTACCTGCTATTGGCTTGTTTTTTAAATTAAATTATCTCATGCTTGTTGGGATTGAATGTGTATTGACTTACTTTATCCTAGTACAATCATCAGTATTTTCTTACAAAATAATATATACATAAATCTTTTCTCTCTCCTTTAATGAAATAGAGAATCACTCTATTAGAGCTGATTTATTGAAGACTTCTACCTAGTTTGTCAAAGCTTGTTCTGGTTGTATATTCTTATATTGTTTAACAATGACATTAAAACTTGATGGTAATACGTACTGCTAGAGCACTAGACACTCATATTCTGCTTTATAAAGCAGAAATAATTCTCAGCAGGGAGGAAGATGCGATTGCCCCCATGGAGAATGGAATGGATGGTCCGTTATGCTTTTACGATGTTCTTGCTGATTATTATGTTCAGGTGCCAGAAAGCGGGAAACCAATCCTTGATTTGATTGTCAAACTGTGGAGCCAGTCATTTACATGTCATATTTTCACCCTCTTATTCCACAAATGGGTGGGTGAATTTGCACCATGCCTTTTCTTTATGCAGATGTGATTTTCCATTTCCATTTCTTTTTTTTTTATTTGATATTTTCTTGGCATTTTCTTGTGGTTTTCATCTCAAATTTATTTAAGAAGTTAACCCGCCATCTGGGTTCCCTTGTTTCTATAAATAACTATTCTGTGTTTAAATGAATTCTCGTTGTAATATTATTGTCACGTAAAACTTGTTCTGTTTTCAATTGGTTTTGGAATTTGTCTAAACATGTTTGCCCATGTAGCTATCTTCTTCTTTTTCTTCTATTTTATTAGAAATATTTGGTGACTGATGCTGATCCATCTTGCAGCTCTTTGAAATAGAAATTGACAATTCAGATGAAGTTCATCTCCGTAACTCAGCAGCTCTTGTTCAAGGTGCCACAAATATCTTCTGGTATGGATTTAGCAATTTGTTGCAAAAACCTGTTTTATACATCATCTGATCTTAATATAGATCACAATCATAGTTTCTCGCTTTTTCATTATTCTTACTTTTGTCTTGCACGGTGGCACCAAAGCCTGTCTTACAATATATTATGCTTTGTTGGCTAAGTACAGAGTTGCTGATAAAACGTACTATTAAGTTTTTTAGCAAGTGTTCTTAATCGTTCATGGTATTTCAATGTTAGATTAAAAGAAGCATGGATGCAAGACATTTACACTTCTCTGTTGATATATGTATGTCTTCTAGGATATAGGGTTCTGATACGGACGGATGGTTGATTCTCATGTTGAAAATTTGTTTTAGTTTATTATTATTTCACTTGAAAGATAATGTAAAAGAAGTTGAAAAATTAGTTGCCTACACTATACAGTTTTATCAAAATATTTGACACATTAAAAAAGATTAAGATGACAAAATTAGTTGCTCTCTCTTATGAGACAATATACCGTGTTCAAAATATTTGAAGAAATTGAGACCAACTTATCTTTTTCCTAAACGATTTAATATCTTGACATGAAATTTAGAAAGCACATTTTATCTCAACTCGACTGCCCGTTGTTTTTGCTAATTTACATTGGCATGGCATTTCTTTAGCTTCCAATTTTCCTTTTGAACATAAAGAGTTTGTTTCCATTCATGTATCAGTACTAATCATGCACAAATTAGATCCATTTCCAGTTCAGACACTTTAACCCATGAACAAGTGCACCCTTTATGTTAGGGTCTCTCGCATTTATGGAGAGGGCATTTGCTTCATTGTGATTAATGACTGTTAGGAGCATCTGATCATGAGTTATCCCATTGAGGAATTGAAACTTCCAAACTGGAATTAGCATCATATACATGAGTATTTCATTGCATACAGCTGCTGACTTCATCTTTTATGTTCTTCATTTTAAACATGCAATGAAAACGATATTTTGGTATCATCGTAATGACCTTTGTGTGCTGATTCAGGCTTGATATTCAGGCCAACACTAGTCGATTTAAATCTCTCTTTCATGTAAGAGTTTGGTCTAGAATTTTTTCCCCCCCCCCAACCTTCTTTTGATGCCGTGTTCAGTAATTTGTGCTAACCCCCCCTTCATATCAATGTTCAGTACCTTCTTGAAGAAGTTGCATTTCAACCTGTCAGATTGAACAAAATTCCCATACAGGTTAGAGTTTAAAGTTTTTACATGATAAAAGTTATTTATTATAATCTAAAACGTTTTACAACAATTCAGGTAGTGCCATTAATGCGACTGTTTTCAAGAGAATTGTTTTGTTTTTCTTGAGAATTGTTTTGTTATTGACTCCTTTCTTTTTTCTCCTTGCCCCCTCCCTCTTTTTCTCGTTTTTCTTTTTTCTCCATGGCAGGTTCAAAGAGATCTTTTTCTTTTACTTTCACGGTTCTTAATTTTATATGATTCAGGTGAGCTTATAAATGCCATTTGGAAAACAATTCCAATTTTTAAGGCGACTTCTTACCCACTAAGATTTTGTTACTTGGGTGCCCATCTGTATATAATAATCCGTTGTGCTTCAGATGATAAGCTTGAGAGGTTTTTAAAGCAATTTCCCCCTTTCCCGAATGCCATACTAGTTGGTGGTCCAGCTGACTTGTTTGTGATTGAACTTACTGATCAGGTATTGGCATGTAACGTTGCACCAAAATTCTATTGTCAAGTCTTTTTGTTTAAACAAATATTTAGATGAACATGTATTTAAGTTGCCATTATTTAAATTTCTTTAGTACTCTTGTATCATGAAATAGCTTGTTTTGCTACTATCATGATTATATACATCTGCATTGGTCAGATTCAAAAGTTGAAGGTGGAACCAGTACTTCTGCATTATCTTTCACACCTGACTGTTCTCCAAGGTAATTGGTTAACATCATTTCTGGTCAACATTTCTTATCGTAATTGTTTTAATCAACGTCATTAATTTATCTAGGCATGGAACTCAGAATGACCACAAGTACAAGGCTAAAAACTTGTTTGTATAGCTTCACCTCTCCTGGTGGCCCCATGTATCCTACCAGAGCTGTTCGACATGCTGCATGGGACGCTCTGGATTTTCTATTCCCAGTAAGTTTGAATGGCCCAAAACTCATTGCTCTATTAACAACTTCTAAGCATGCTCTTTTATAGTTTTAACCTTGATAACTTCAATGTTCCTCCAACCCTTCGTCTGATGCCTGGTGTTATATGAATCATGAAATATTAACCAAAAAAGAATGTCGGTTAAACTATTCTCCATCCCGGTAACTAGACATGGAAACCGTAAAAATGCTCGAGATTAGAGCACCTCCTTATTTTAGAAGTACTTTGTAATCACACTTTAGCGCTATGCTGAGAAAATTGAAAAAATTTGATGAAGGATTTTTGGTACAGGTGGGACGATATCCTAGGCATCTAATAAGCCTATTTTTCAGATTGTTGTACCCATGGTACTGGCCTTCATCTTGTTGGAACTTCGTAATATCATGTATAAGGGCAGTATTTTTCTCCTTGTTTCGGCTGGTGTTTTCTAGATTCGAGAATCCAAAACAGCATAAGTCTTACTAGGCACAGAAACCAAGTTTGTATATGTACACAAAGACATGTTTTCCCCTCAGGTCATGCTGCCCCCACTTTCTGTTGGGGGCTGTGTATTGATATCTTTTACTCCTTCAAAACCATCGTGATGTCTTTCATTCCAGCTTCATTGATGTGTGTCAACTACAGCAAAACAGAAGAAAAGGCACATTATTTTGATTCAATGGAACAAACCCTTTTGTTTTGGGTGAAATATTGTAGGGGTTCCGAACCTTGGTGGTGTTGAGACTTATAGAATAGTTAGCTTTGGGGATTACTACTGGTTAAATAAATATCTTATTTTCAAGTAAGAATGAATATGAAAATATGAAAACAGACATGTTTGATCTAGTTAAAATTCTGTACTGTTGATCTGTGATTAGTTGTAAAACGTATTGAAAATATGATGTGATCGGCACCAAGCAGCATTTAATGATTGTGGAATTATTGATTTATGAGATGAAATTGTGACAGTTGAGACAAAAATTGCAAAATTTAAGGTAATATTAGATGAAATTGTGTGTTAGTATTCAACCTTTTTACAGTCAACTAACTCCATTACAATGTCCATCGAACCACCACAAGATTTATAATTCAGTATAATAATGTGAAATTTCAATCATTGTTCTTGAATAATATGTAACTATGATTTTACATATTAACAAATTTTTAAATGAAAATTACATAAATTGATATTAATTTTGAATAAAAAGTAGGAATTTCATCCTATTATTTTAATAGTTAATTTACTATTTGTATTTTACATTGGCAATAACAAATTATAAGAAAAAAACATACATACCTATTCAATTTTGAACATTCTATGCCTGTAATTTAAAGCTTTATAACCGTGATGTGATACTCGAATGCCAAAATTATTGAGCTCCAAAGTACCAAACTGAAAGCTAGGACAGTTTAAAAGTCTTAAGCTCGGATCTTTATATGAATTGAAACTAAAAAAAAAACCAAAGAAATTATCTGTAACGAGAGAAATTCAATGGCAGCTGAGCGAGCAACAGCTCTCATTGGATACCAAATGAATATCTTCATTTAGCTAGCTATGTCAAACACTTGATACTTGTATAAAAGGACTGCTAACCACTCGCTCAGCAGGCACAAATACCAGAATTCTAGCTACCTAAAGAAATCTGCAAGCGGTACAAAAATCCACTTCTAATCATTTTGAAGGTAAAAAGAATGCACACATCCCTTGGGACCCACCTCCTACGAACCCCAAACACACATTCCTTACCCTACAAAAGGATTTGGGAACCTAGAGAGAGGAGAAGATGAGCTTTATTTGAAGATGTTACAAGCTCCATGATTCTCACATGCCCCTTTTCCTACAAAGCTCTATCATTCCGCATAAAAACTTCGGCAATCAATGGCTTCCAAGACTTTCATTTCTCCATGTGTAAAGGAAGCTTCCAACTCATCCACACATGAAAAGATTTGCAATATGAGGAAAGATGTAAAGCTCAAATGTCTTTGCAAAAGGTTTGAGATAAATTCATTGCCTACTACCCCTACTATGCTTTTGACTCTGTGAATCAACTCTAGATTAACTTTCAATTGCATCAAATTCAACTTTAAACTTTGATAAGTACGATAAATCAGTCTTAATTTCTTCATCAAATGTGAACATACTAAATTTGAACTTCAAAAAAGTTCAAACAAAAGTGAAAATGTACAAACTGAATAATAACAATAATGTAGATGCAAAATCTAACTAAAACATATCCCAGCATCAATGTTGGTCATACTACTCTGACCAACTTCACCTGAGTTTCTTTCTAAGGAGTCCTATGGCAGAGTAGTAGTAGCATTATTCTTCGACATTTTTTTTTGGCTTTTCAAATATTTCAGAATTAAAATTGACATGAACAGAAAAGAAACTCAAAATTCTAGTATGCCGAAATTATAGTAGGATATATGCCATGCTTTCTAATCATAGAATGCAAATGTCTGTAGTGCTCTCATACAAAATATGCAAAAAAGAGGGTACAATCACAGAAAAGTAAAAGCCATAAACAATGCTGAAACAGAAGTAAAAGCTTCAATGATTTCTACATGCATACTTCTAATTCTATGGTTCAGGGGCCGCGAAAGTCAATGCCAACTCCAGACACTTACTTGGTAATCATGTCCACACACTCTATCCCTCCATGCCAATAAGTAGAAGATCTTAACACATTACTTTTAATTCATAAAACCAATCACTGCAAAGCAATAAAGCAGAAATTCTGCAGTCAGAGCCTAAAAAGTATTATATATAGAATACATTGTACCGGAAGTTCTACCATTCTAACAAGGAAATATTATATTTAGAAACGGTGTACCAGAAGTTTGGCCTCTTGACACCAGAAGATGTTGTTGGTTTTGTGAGGACCAATACTTCCCATGTCATGCACCCAAATCTTCCATGTGGACAAGGAGTGTGAACGACTTTCCCAGTCCCAGTTCAACTTTCATATAAAATAGTAAGATTGGAGCAAATCAAAATAGATAACATGAGATTACATTCAAGCATTAGTTAACACCTCGTTATAGTATACTGCAACAAACAACAATTCAAGCTCAAACTCCACATCATAGCAAGGTCTAGCGGTTCTCTCAAGATCAAGGCTTCATGATATGACTTGCAAAACAGAAAACGATGTCCTCATCACATTTATCACCAAGCACCTAACGGAAGTTATGGATATCAAGCCCCAGAAAATGACACCAAATGATTTAATTGATCTGCATTGCTTCTTCATGGTACTTCTCCAAATCAGCATCTAGATCTTCAGCCGATAATTTTTCACCACCACCTCTGCCATTGCCACGTCCACGCCCTCCTCTTCCAGGACCACGACCTCGTCCACCACCCTGGTTTCGGCCCAGTGCACGTCCACTGCTAAAACCAAACAAAAATTTAATGAAATGCATTTTGATTGAGAGAACCAATAACAGCTATCGAATCAGATGAAAAAAGCTTGACGTAAACATTGCATTTATAGAAATTTAAAACATAATTACTAGCTTCATACTTTAGCAACACCTAAAACATAGAAGGGACAGAATAATCCACGAAATTGAAATCTACACTAGCAAGGACAGAGAAATCCATGAAATTGAAATCTACAGTAGCAAATGTGTGATCATGCACACAACAAGGTTACCATAACTATTCAAGAGGCAGGCTTCATTAACATTTTTCTTTGTGCTTATATAATACACCACCATCATGGGAAAACTTAATTATCAAAACTTCTGGATTCATACGATCAAAACACAAGACAGGGGAATTATTCGCGAAGGATGTATAAATTGATCCCTAAAAAGGAAAAAATAAAACTTTAAAAAATGCATCCAACAATAGTCTACTATTCGAAACATACCCCAAATAAAAATGACATCCAAAAATCATCATAAGTACACAAATAACCACCATTTCCAACACCAAATTAAGTAAGTTCAGATGATTTTTAATAAAATTAGCCCAGTTGGTGAATAAGATGGTCAGATTTAAGAAACCCACAATAATTAAAAAGAATGATGGTATAAATATTAGGAGGCAGATAATTGCATGCAGTATAATTCCAATTTGAGAAATAGAAGTGTTCGATGCAAATGCACCTATTAACATGGTGAATACCATGAATACAACGGACAATATCATGAATACAATTTAATTCTCCATCTAGCTTTATTTTTCCTCCATATCACCTCATTTGTCCATACATGTTCAATAAAAAATGTTGAGATTGTATATTTGCATGTTTGATCTTTTCAAAGCTCCTAGTGAACATGTCCCAAATCAATGAAATATATTTTAACTATGGACTAAATCAGAACAACAAGAAAAAGTTAAAAATCCATAATAAAACCTAATATAACTCCCAAAACAGTTACTTGAAACATTGCCTGACAAAGGTATTGTAAAGAAAAAAGTTACATCCACTCCAGACCACATACCATTAGCTGCAGTAATACATAACTGCGCTCGTAAAAGCAGATCGAAAATTAGAAATAAGAACAAATGAATTGAAAAAAAAAATATATATATACCCTCTAAGAAATCCACTTGAATTCCCAAAATTGGGATTTGAAGAAGCAGGTAGAACAGGCGTCACGATGTTTGCTCCCACAACCTCCAACTTCATGGGCTTCCCATCTAGCTGAACATTGTTGTATCTCTTTATAGCAGCTAGAGCATCTGCTTGTCGTGAAAAAACTACTTCTGCTGTTCCCTAAGAGGAATAAAAATTACAACGTGAAAATATGGTTAATAAACAAAAGAGCCCTTGTGTAGGACACACTTTAAACATACCTTTGATCTCCCACTTTTATCATAATTTATAGAATACCGTTTAAGATCGCCAACTTCAGAAAAAAGTTCCTGCATATACAAATGTAACCAAGTCTTAGTGACGCCAAAAAAAAAAAACTCTTAGGTTCCAATCCACAAATCCAAAATTGAAATACCTTGATATCCTCGTTGGAAACACCATAATCCAAATTCGAAACATAAAGCTTCGTGCCAGTTTCAATAGTAGAGGCCCGTGCAGGGTGTGAAGGATATGCCACACCATGATCTACAAACAAGTCGTGTGACCAAGGCGTCTCAGGCGCCTAAACCCCCACGAGAAACACTTGTATTAGTAGTAGTAGCATTAGCAGTAGTAGTAGTAATAGAGCAAGAGGGTGGTGTTGGTAGAGTAAGATTGAGCGAAAGCGGGATGTTTAAAACCCAAATGTTCCTTCACCTTGGCTCTAGAATAGGGCGCTGCTCTATTAAGACCGCGATTGTTAAAGCGGCGAGAGGGAGCTGGTCCAGAAGAAGCACCGCCGCGGCCCCTGAAGTTTGAGGATCCGGATTTCTTGTTGTTCTTGATGATATCATCTAAGCTCGTGTCAAGAGGGTCGACCATGGTGATGGCGGAGGAGTGGTGGTCGTGGCTCAGGGAAACAGAGAGGAAAGAGAACTCTAGGGTTTCTCAATCGAACGCTGTGATGTGATGAAAAGCGCGAGAGAGAGAAGCCAATTGCCAAAATTCGATGACTACGCTAATAATAAAATAATAAAATAATAATAATAATAATCAATAATATACGAAAATTTTAAAATTTTGAAAATACTATTATTCTCTCAAAAATATTTAAAATAAATAATAACACTTTTCAAAAAATATTTACAAAGATTCTTATCCTTAAAATTTACTTTTTATCTTTTTAATTTCTGATTTTTCGTATGTTAAATTAATTAGATTCATTCTCCCTCTTCTATTTTGTTTTGATTTTACTCAGACTAATGATAATGTTTGTGACTTGAACCTACGTGATCTATTGATGACCAAGTGAAACTCGAGTGAAATTAAGTAGAGGTCCAAACTAAATGATGTTAAAGAATCAATGAATGAGTTATGCTTAGAGATGAAATGTCACTCGAACTTAAAACTCTTCCAAAAATGCATTTTTTCTATTTATTTCCATAGTATGATTGTAATTGTGGTGGTGATTATGTGAACAAGACCCAAGACCGACTCTGACATTTTTTTCCATTCAATATTTTTTTTTTTTTTTTTGAAATTAAATTACTTTGGGGAATGTTAGTTTCCTTAGTTTGCCCGACCAACAAAGTGGGAAATATTTGAACGTAGCTCTTTCGATTGTACTCTTTCACATGAATTATTTAATGAAAGTTTAGATAATCTAAAACGTGTAGATCTATCTAGAGGATACTTTTAGATTTGAAAAAATAGCTACATGATTGTAGTCTAGAGAATTTAGAGTAATGATTTAGCAGTGGGATGGACTACTACAGTAACATCACACAAAATGAAAAAAAACAAACAGCACTATTGCCCAAAAAACTACAAATTTAGCCAAGCCTCGAATGAAGATACTGAGAACCTTATGCTTCCACTAAACAGATCAACAGAAAAACATTACGGGTCCTTCTAGCTTACCAATGCAAAAATGTTAATGAGATCTAAATTCTGCAAGTAATTGAAAACAAAGATTAAAGAGAACCAACCAGATGAGAATTGAGCCAAATTGGTTATAAAGCCCATGCTGCTGCTCGGAAACAGTGAAATTGACATTGAAAACAGCAACTCATTAGCATCCTTGGATCTAAACATGGTCAAACATCATCTCCCATGTTCTTGGCATGACACAAGATGAAAATCATGTAGCATTACATAGGGAGATATTGCATTAATTGCACACGATAAATCATACAATATAAGGTGGTGTGGTGGGGGAATGACCGCGAAGATTTGTTGTTCCAGATGGACATAATTCTACAAGACAAAACTCAAAGCAACCCAATATGTAATCAACCAAAGCACATTCATAAACCCAGAAATGAATAACATCATCACTTCACAATGTAAAACAGACACCACAAGAAATTCATCACCAGGAGGCTTCTTATTTAGCACGGCTGTTGAAAACATCGAGACCCATTTCAGTTGGGTCAGTAGCTTGCAGCTCAATTTGAATGCCATCCAATTCTCTCCTGAACTTGTCCTTTGAACTTGCATAGATCATCTTGCTTCTTACCTTTGATACGTCCGGAGACCTTTGCAACAACAAAAGAATATGGTGATGATTAGTGATAGAACTAACTACACGTTTTGTTTTTCTTTTTTGATCGTAACATTACCAAGCAATGAAGAAAATTCTGCTCTTCTGGACATTCTCTTTAGTGAGAAAGTCAAAATCATAAACCGCGTATCGGCATTCATCAGCAGGAAGACAAGCTGTGAAATCTTCATAGCTTTGACTTGGCTCGCCAACTTTTTCCACAATCACTTGCTTTTGCTTCTCTTCAATCTTATATACAATGTATCTGTAAGTTCTCTTGGTTTTCAGCTCTAAGAACTTAAGCTTACATTCATCATGTACAGCCATACCGGATGCCGCATTAGCCTGAAAATTAATTTGGAAGAAAATGATAATACAGCTTAAGAGGAACGAATTCAAAGATGTGAACACTAGCATAGGAAAAATCAAATACTTATAAAGTTTACTGTAACGACCAAGCCAACAACTAGCCGACATTGTCCTCTTTGGATTTTTCCTTTCGTGCTTTCCCTCAAGATTTTTAAAATACATTCGCTAAAGAGAGGTTTTCACACCCTTATAAAGAATGTTTCATTCTTCTCCTCAACCGATGTAGGATCTCACGATCCACCTCCCTTCGAGACCCAGCGTTCTCACCGACACTCGTTCCCTTCTCCAATCAATGTGGGACCTCGAGTGTCATGATCATAGTGTAATAGAACCGAACCTGCTTGATTATCATTATGATCTCCACATGGTCCTTTTAGAGTCTATTCTTCATCTTCACAAATTCTCCGCAATCATTGAGATAACAGTCATTGGTTGGTATCGATGAGTTGTCAATTGGCAAATGCATAACATTTTGATTCTCAAGAGAGCGGTTTTAGCATTCGAGATTTGATGTAATATTGAAAATTAAAGGTGGGCATCACAATAAAAATATCAAAAACCCAATTTATTTCTAATTCTTCCCTATATTTATCGTCGGCCGTTGGGGGCTTCTTTGGTCCACTGACTATGCTGCCGCCAACCAATTATCATTGGCCCCATATTCAACAAGCACATGCACTCGATCTACTTCACAATATTACCATTCTGATAGTACACGCAAAATATCGCCATCTTTCCACCAACCACCAAACATCATCTCAATCACTACAGAACCAAGCACAAGAAAACACCAAACTAAAGAAAAATATAAATTATCAATCTCGGATGACCAAGGAACGGCGTCAATCAGTAAAATCCCGATCACATCCAAGGAAACGAACTATATCCGAGTATTTCCGATGATACTGAAATCAATCCTAAACGAAATCTAAATAAATCAAAACCGATCCAGCTCAAATCGGACAAATGAAAACTAAAACGATCTGGATCAGAAAAATAAAATAATACAGATCCACACCCCGCAAGCCCGGAAAATCAAATCTACCAGGCATCACAGATCAAGACAGAGAAAGAAGAACATAAACAGACTATAAATCAAGAAGAAAAAATACGAAAAAGCAAAAGATAAAGAAATCCGCAAATGAAGAAGAATCAGTGAAAAGAGGCTCACCATGGCTGAAGCTTGAGTAGGGGAAGTGAATCAGAAGATCTAGGGAGAGGAACGGAAGACGGGAAGAACAATCTCTCTCTCTCTCTCTCTCTAGCTCTGTGAAGAAATTCACGAAATGTTCGAGATATTCTTCTCTCTCTGTTTCTATGTTCTTCTTGGTAAACGATGGCTTTACTTTTTTCCACAATATCACGATGGCCGTCGACAGCGGAGTTTGAGCAGCATTTCCAATGAAATTTCAACACGTGTTCTCTTACGAAATGACTGTTTTACCCCCATTGTAATGTTGCATTCTGGGACTGTTTCCATACCTGTGGAGTTTAAAAGTAATTAAAAGTTAAATAAATATTACGAAAATTAAAGTACGCATTATAATTGGTTTATTTGTTTAAATAATTATGTTTTAAAATTATTTAACGTTGTTATTATAAAATTAATATTAAAAAAAAGTTATTATATGATGAAATTACATTAATAAACACATATTTTAAAAGATTGATAATAGAAGAACGTTGTTTCATATTTTTTTTTTCTTTTTTGGCCAAACATTAATGATAGTTTAATTATTATTATTATTATTATTATTCTGTGTACAGTTTAATTAAGATATAATCATAATTTGCATGCAATAATTATAGGATTACGTAATTAAAAGAAGTATTCAAGGCTTGTATATGACTAAAGGATAGTAAATATTTAATGGAGAATTTATTTTGACTATGTAATATAAATTCAAGTACATTGGATATCACATCTAAATAAGAGTAATCATGAGAATAGAATGACTAAGAAATATTTTAAAAAAAAATTGAAAGTTACTATCTATATCAATAATGTGTACCTTCATTTTTAATCTTGAGAATATGATGACTAAGAAAGAGTTAGAAAACTTTTCTTCTGTTTTAAACTAGAAAAATGAGTAGATCAATAGATTTCTTAAAAAATGTAAGAGATCGACTGAGGACAAGTTATATCATGTGATAAGAGTTCACATAACCATATAGGTCAGCTGAACTCTTCCTATAAATATCTCAAGCTTGCACCTATGTGAAGGAAACTATAGAGGAGGAAGCCAACCACAACAAACAATCCCTTTGGACAATGAACTTCTAAAAAGCTAAGTTTATTAAATGCTAAAAAATAAAGAGTTAATTACTTTAAATTATTATTAGATTCGAATTTATTTTATGAAGGGTATTAATTACTTAATTTCTGAAAGCTTTAAGATTCATTGAATAATATATCCATGGGTGTGGTCAAATTCTACCACCACGCTTGATTGGACATTAATGTAAACCATAAGCCTAAAATAATTAGTTTATTTTGTGAATTATTGGTAGAGGACAAATATTTTATCTATAAAAATAATAATAAATACCAATATTGATATTTTTTTTGGTTGATGGTGATAGCCTACTTCAGTTGACCCACCTAATCTATGTAATCTTAATAAATAAGAGATAACACCTAATCTTATCAATTCATATATATATATATTCTTTTTTTTTTTTTAACTAAAATACAAAATTCGATATAAGTCAAATATAGTAAATAAATTGTATTAATTATATTTATTACTATTTTATATTATTGTAATTTATTTTATTATAAATAGAGAACTTTCGCACAGATTTAGATGGATTAAGTAACGTTCTCATGTAATTTATTTTATTATAAATAGAAAACAATGGACTATTTTAAAGATTTGGGTCTTTTAATTCAACTCTACGCGCATTGAATCATATTATAAATAAAATTGGATATAAATAGACATGCTATAAGATTTTTATTTACATGAAATATCATATAAGCCTACATCAGCTTCATTTGACACTGCACCCAACTTTTTGTTACAAATTAATTGTATTATTATCATGGTCACCAAATCAATGATTTCACAAAAATGAATGCAGGGACTAAAATCAAACACATCCTATTCTTAAAATGCTGGCAATGAGAATACATTATAAATAGAACTTTGATTAATTGAGTTTACATTTAAATACAGATTCGACGTTACAAACACAAATAAATACTAAGAAAACAACATAAGCACAACTCAAACGATCAAACGTGGAGCAAAAAAAATAAACTAACAATTTCCGTGGAAGTAAAAAAAAGGTAACTCTTACTGACTTTTCTTGAAGGGACGGATGGATAGTGATAGTGATAGTGATGAATGAAACAGATAAGTTAGCTAATTTAACACATGTTTAGGAGTGATTTTGGACATGATGAAAGTGGTTTGGGTCATTCCAAAATCACTCTCAAACATATCCTAAGCTTAATTAATGTGGTTTCGTTTTCGTATACCAACCTGATCCTTTTGTTGCGTGTTATTCAAAATATTTGCAAAGTCGCTGCAGTTGCTCAGGAAGGCGACATGTACATTTATGGTCATGCAAATTCTGGATTGAGTGCCAATGCTTCTCTGTAAATCATCTCCTTCATCTGCTCTTCATCCAAGTATTGTTGCTCAAACTCGAACGAGAATGGCTCGGGGCAAACTGGCTCATCGGCTACGTCGTGCAATCTCTCTAGGTATGGATGTGCCAACGCTTCTTCAACTGTTCAAAACAAAATTCGTAAAGTTAAACCAAGGAATGATGTGAAAAAGAAAACTATTTCAACAGCCATCTCTTCTGAACATGAAGAGTATGACCAGCAACAGCGAGGAAATGGGGGGAGAAATGATAAGAAGATATTGGAACATAAACGTATAGCTTGCTTCTTAATGCAGAAATTCCATGAGAATAATTTAGATTGTCTTGATCAGCACATGCACATCACAAATCCCAAATGACAACAATAAATCTTATAATATTTAGAATGAAAAAACTTGTAAGGCATTGTATTTTAGACACATGGCCGCAAATGGCAATATGAATTACCAACTTTGAACATTGAACCAATCCATGATAGTTTGTACCTTGAAAGAAAATTGCAATGACTAAACTATCATTAACATTGTATCTCACGAGCAATTAATTCCTTCAAACCATCGAATGATCAAAGAATTGAGATTTGATAAATATTTACCAGTAATTCTCCTGGTTGGATCAAACGTCAACATTTTATCCACAAGATCAATTGCCAAAGGATGAACATGAGGGAAAACTGTTGCTAATGGCTGACGAGGATGTGGAGGTAGCTGCCGAAGATATCTTTTCGAGTCTTCGTTTCGAATAAAACCAAGATCCGATTCGGTTGGTGTGCCAAGAAGCTGATAATTAAAATCATACAAGGAGAAGGCAATCAATTTCAGAACAAATGAAAGAACATTAGCTTTTTTTAGAGGAAAAATAGAACTTGACAATCATTGGCCAAACTCAATATCCCAAATGGAAACTGATGAAAATTATCAAAACAGACCCAAGAAATTATCTTTGACAGAGTGTCATAGTCAACAAAATTCAGATTATAAACTTATAATGATCATAATAAGAGACATCACAAGAACTGCCCAGGAACAAAAATTCCCTGGTACATTTTTACATCAGCTAAATCTTTAATAGTCAAAATTGGATAGTTTATAACCAAAAAACTGCAATAGCTCTGTATAGATTGTTTTACCTCAGTCAGTAAACGCATCTGATGCACATGATCCCTGCCTGGAAATAGAGGCCTTCTGTTCATAAGCTCCAAATAGATGCAACCAACAGACCATATATCAATAGCAGCTGTATAATCAGAGTTCAACAGTAACTCAGGTGCCCTATACCATCTGGTAACAACATATTCTGTCATGCTTTCATTTTCTGAAGTTGGACGAGCAAGACCAAAGTCGCAAATTTTAAGATCACAGTTCGCATTAAGCAGTAGATTGCTCGGTTTCAAGTCCCGATGAATGACATTTGCAGAATGTATGTATTTAAGTCCTCGGAGAATCTGATAAAGGAAATACTGCAAAGCAAGCCAAATCTTATATTACAAGAGGAATAGTTGAAGAAAAAAAAAATCAAAGGTGCAATTAACATAATCAATGATGAACAAAGTAAGGGACCTCGTCATCCTACCTGACAATGCTCTTCTGATAAAGTTTGGTTCGAGCGGATTATTTGGTGAAGATCGGTGTCCATTAGTTCAGTGGAAATGTAGACATCACTGAATTCTCTCCGCAGAGGTGGAGGAATCACATCTCTAATGCCTATTACCTACATCAAATGAATCGCAATCTATATGAGTGTGTGGCACTAAAGAACAACTATTTAAAAACTTCCTTCAAATCAGGAAGTATAAAGAAAGCAAAATACCCATCATAAAAAGCAGTTCCAATTCCAGTAAAGTATAATTTTAAAAAGTCAAATCCCAAAAACTTCCCACAATCAGCAAAATTATGCAGAACCAAATGCTACTAAAGGTTATGGGCACCTGGTAAAAGAGAAGGTTACCCTAATTGAAATTAGGAAACTCCAATCCACTAATTAATGAGCCAAATCACCAAGAATAATCTGTTCAATTGCATAAACAGACCGGAACATCACAATTGAATTGATTCAAAATGAACTTTCTAGGATTCTATCATGATTACCCCACGCCACCAAGAACAACACAAAATTATTGAGATTAATCAATCACCGCCAAGAACTATTCTAGACAAAAGAATTGATCGATCAATATTTTGCAATTCAACGACGCTGCGCGTGGTTAATGATTAAACACCGTCCAAAATCAGAGGAACACCAAATTGAATCCACAGACACAAACGGAAGAAATCCTAATCGCATGGATTAATCGAAACAACAATTATAGCAACTACAGGGATAAACTCTCTCACATTTTCGTGATCCAAATGCCGGAGAAGCTTGATCTCACGGAGCGTCCGCTTCGCATCCATATGATTATCAAACGCGTTGGCAATCTTCTTAACCGCAACCATCTCGTTGGTCTCTGAATTCAAAACCGAACTACAAACAAACCAAATCCAACAAAGGTATAAGACAAAAACTGAATCCAAAGGCGTTTCCAAACAAGATCACCAACAATTCCAACAAAAACAGATGAAAATACCAAACGATTCCGTAGGCGCCGCGACCTATAGGCATGATAGGCGGACGATATTTGGAGGTGATTTCAAACGGATTCCGGAAGATATTGTACTGCACATATTGACCGCCATGGGTAGGAACAGCAGGAAAATCACCGGTATTGTTCTGACCAACATCAGCCATATTCTTCGACCTCAAAAATCCAACAACGAAAAGAAGACTCCCCGCTCAAATCTGCAACACCCCCTGCAAAGAATTCTTCGATTCTGAGTCTAGAAATTGAACCCAGAATGAAGAATGAAGACCAAGACCGAAAGTTTGACAAAGAAGTTCAGAATTTGGAGAATATTTATAAGAGAAGAATTTGTCAAACCGAAAAATGAGAGAGTGAGGAGTAAATTCTAGGAAAGAGAAACGAAGGCCCGCGCGGGAGAAAAATGGCTTACGCGCTTCTCACGGAGGATCGGACGGATAACATTTCAGCCGCCTTTAATCGACGGTCCAAATTCATTTTCCTTTTGTCAACGGCTTCCGTCGTCGTCTTCATTCCAAAATTTGGAGATAATTCCATTTTTTTTAATCTATTGCTTAAACATCCTTTTAATCATTTAATTTAATGGATTTAATGTATTGGGTCTTTTTTTTTTTTTTTCCTTCGAGTTTTATTGATTTAAATTATAAAATTATTGGATTATTTTATTGAAATAAAAATTCCTTTTTAAAATGATTGTCTAATTAAATAACTTAATATTTTAAACGCCCATAAATTTAGTATTTACCATAAATTCAAAATTTTAAAAAGCCCTAATTAAATAATAAATTTTAAATTAACATTTTCATGAATAAATTTCTAAACAATTAATAATTTTCGTGTCTCTTCAAAATCATTACCATTTATTTAATGTTATATACTTGATACTGGTACTAGAGCTCCCTTTGTTGATCGGCCTCTAAGTGATTGTGTAACTTCTAGTTAGGTTCTATCAACTTGGCGGCTCCTAATGAGTTGAGTTTTATTTTGATTGGCTCATATTAACCTATTTCTATCTACTATTTTAGAGAATTAATATTTAAAACGGTTTATGATTGATTTAGGTCATTTAAAATCAATATGGACTACTTCTCATATGTTTGTATGGACGTGTGTACTGATAAGAATGATTTCAAGTCTTATTACTTTTCGTGATTTAGCTGCTATAAGCCTATAAGCAAGTCAATGGCTTACAAAGATAACATATTTACTTAATGGGTCCCTTTGCACGTGTAGAGGCTCATGTGAGTGAGTGTGTATATCCTTCCAATAACACGTTTAAAATTTTATAATCCAATTTCTTCCCATAGGCTTTTCCAAATCCGCAATCATCGCATAAAATAGTATTTTCCTTGATGTGATACTTTTCTTTACAAAAAAAAAAAAAAAATTGAGATCGTTGGCTTCCATACCCACACAACGATAGAATTTCTAAACGATTTTAAGCTCGTAGACCAAAAGATAAAAGAAGAGGAGAAACACTATGGTATTGTGACTCAGAAATAGGTTTAGTGGGAAAGAAACAAAGAAGAAGAACTTGTAGAAAGGCTTTGAGCGAGAATCACGGGTGAGAGAATAGATGGAGTGAGAGTAGGTGGTTTGGCTCATCTAGAAAATCAAGTTTTCAAGAAATGACACTTTAGTCGATCCTCACTCGTCATAGTTGATAATACGACCACTAGAGATTGTATAGAACCAAATTGACAATGAGGAAGCCAAGAGAACCCTCATCATTTAGAACGCATTCATTGTCATAGTTGTTCGGAGAGCCATTGCTCGACGATGCATCATCGATACCGAAGCATCTTGACCATAAATAGAATCGAAGCCAAGGCAAGTCAAATTGACCCACTTGCAAGCATTTGGGGCTCAAAACATTCAAGATATTGATTGGTTTATGCCTAAAAAGTACACCAAAATGATAAACTTTGAAGCAACTTTATTCAAGTCCAAAGAGGCTGGGAGATGAGGCAAAATCCAAAATTCAAATCAACAAAAAAAGACAGGGCCACCAAACCCAACCCAACCAACCTACCCATTTCATTACAAATCAAAGCTAACATAAACAACAACAGCCTGCAACCTCATTTTTCCATTCCCATTGCTCAAGCATCAGCAAATCTGCAAATGAAATTTCAAAAGTTATGAGCTTGTCCTCTTATTATCTCTCGAGCGATCAATGGACAACACGATGGACGACAAGAGAACACGTTAAACATGAGTTCGAAAAGTCCTACCCGAGCTCAGAAAGCTTCTGGTGAGCCTCAGCATAATCAGCAAAGAAAGCATCCTCATCTGCAGCATATTTTTCGACAAGAGGGCGGAAGACAGGGTCGCACAGAAGTGTCTTGTCTGATACCAACTGCAGAAGACCTTCCTTCTCCCCAGTCAAGAGCTCGCTGTCGTAAACAAGCATGTTCACATAAAAGAATTAGAGCTTTCAACATTTCTTCACAAGCTCCATTATTGATAAATAAACTTGTTTTAACTCACGTGAAATACGAGTTGTCGAAGATGAGAGGGTTGGAAGTCCACGGTCCCTCAAACCCGGATCGTTCCTTGTGTGCCCGACCCTGTCGAGTTAAACCATCATTAGCTTCAAAAACTCAAACTGCTTGACTATACTAAATTCAAGTTCATGGATACATTTCTATATCACTAATCATCAAAGCTCAAGAACTAAATTTCAACGGAACGAACCAATGTGTGACCGCCAGAGAGGGCGACAATGTCCTGGTCAGAGAGGCCCATGGTGTAGAAAACATCCCTCAAATGATCAGAACCTGAACAGAACACAACCCATCAGTTAATTTTCTAATCTAAAGCTTCGTCTTCACCTTTCACATAACAACCATATTATCATGGATACTAACCCTTGGTAGCATCGGGCAAGCGACCTTCCGGGGGTGGCGCAGGCTTGTCCTGCATAACAAATAACACCAATTTTCAATATCAGAACAGTTCATAAGTCAAGAACAGGTTAAATTATCATTGCTAGTTTGCATTACTTGAAGAGCTTAGTTTCAATCTGGTTACTAAGGCTTCAGATCATTATGAATAAACAATAAAAGTTGAAACAATCCAGAGAATCCAAATCCATTCTCAACTAAGAACAAACGCTACACCAATCAAATAGAAAAGATAATTGGATATCACTGACCTCTCTACCAGGGTGGAACGGAACCTCAGGCCCTCCAGTGATCTCGACAGCAACAACACCAGCCAACTGGAAGAAATCAAACCCAGAAACACAAAATTAAACAACAATCAAGATCAAAAGTCCACAAAAAACAGATCAGATCAGATAAATTACCTGGTAAAAGTCAGCATATGTGAGGATAGGGAACTGTTCCTTGATAGGCTCCAATAGCCTAATAGCGATGTCAAGGCCACTGTTGGCTGCATGAGCGAGCTCACTAGGGAACCTCATAGTTCCAAACGGACCACCAGTCCTGGATTTATGGTCAAAGGTTCCAGCAGAGTGCCATCTGAAAAAACAAAATCACAATCACTCACAAAAATAGGGAAAAACTAAGAACTCAGAAATCAAGAACAACAAGAACAACAAGAACATACGCAAGACGGAGCATTAGAGGAGCACAATTCTTCTCAGCAATAAGTCCTCTGAGCTTCCTCTTGGCCTTTTCGACGGCCTTTTGATATTCCTCACTTACAACAGGGTAGCACTTTGTCATGGTGAAATTGACGAAGATACTGAAATCAAACAAATCAACATCCACATTTTCATATCAAATCCACGAACCAAGAACAGCTTAAAATCAACTTCAAATCCAAAAATCTCAACAAAAATTCCAAAAAAATCAAAAGAATCCACAATCAAAAATCGAAAATGATGAGCGATTAATGCTTGATTTCCATCTAAGTCAACGATTAGAACCGAAAAAAACAATATACCTTGGTAGAAATGGAAAGATTTGGAAATAAACGAAGAAGGTAACCAAAGGGTGTGAGTCGAGCACGAGTTCACTGAGAGGGGCAGCTACATAAATAATGGCAGTCGAGAAAAAAGAGGGTTCTAGATGCTTGATTCTGACCGTCAGATTATGAAGCAGCTTCAAATTCAACGGTAAGGATGGGATTTGACGAGAAGGTAGGTGACAAAGAGTTAAGAAAAAACCGGACCCAGAGGAAACTGAATGGACCGCCCAACTGAATGACCAAAATACCCTTCTTCGGACAACTCAAAAGTTGTCCTAATTGGACATTTTCTAGTTTGAATTTGACCTTAGACGGAATAATATTTCCTTTTTACACCATTTTTCATTTAAATAATATTATCTTTTATTATATTACCTTTTCCATATTAATTAGATATTCTGTTTACAAATGATGAAATTTTGAATTTCTCGTTGATTTTAATATTGTTGGACCAAAATTAGACAATTGGAATTTTTTTATACTTTTCTATTAAAAAAAAACTAAAATATTATAATATTTTTTAAGGTTGTCTACAAAAAAAATACCCAAAATATTTTTAAGATGTAAAAAAAAAAAATATATTCCAAAAAACTATTATCTAATTATGGATTATATTGTATAAAATTATTAAATTTCCTTTATTATAATATTAAATAAGACAGAAAAAAACCAAAAAAAAAATCCCTAAATAAGTGATTAATGGAGAATTTTGGTTTATCCAACAATAGTGCTGTTTTACTTTTTAGGAAAATTATAAATTACCGCTAATATTTTATTTCAAAGTAGGTATTAAATAAATATAAATAGTAAATAAAAAATCATATCTAGTATACTCTTCCCATTGAGTAGCAAACTTTAGTCCCTTAAAAATTAGTATTACAAAAATATATAAAATATTTATTAAAAATGAGGAATATATATATATATCATGCTGTCGTAAATTTTATAATTTATGGTTGATCTATCAATTTTTCGTCTAATAAATATAAATTTTAAAAAAGTTATAATAAAGTGTCTTACCAAGATTAAAAATTAAAGGTAAGTATAAAAATTATCCGATAAAATTTAAAATCATTAATTCATATCCGATAAATTTGTGAATTTTAAAAGGCATGTTATTTGGTAAAAGAAAAAAAAATATATTAATTTATATGTTTATGTGTGTGAACGCGCTTGTTTGATCGAAAGATTCCGTTGATGGGAAATGATAAAGTGACTTGGTCAATTTAGTACATTGGATCACCGCTGAGTTTGATTGGTGGTAGACACCGAGGATGTGTGTCAGTGCTCCCTCCATTGGTTTTCCATTGTTTTTTAATTTTTCTAATATAAATAAAAGTCCAGGTTGATGACCCGTGTGGGTGATCGTAACCACCAATGAGAACGAGCCACGTCATCAATGAGGATT